AAAGTATACTGTACATATAAAGTACTGTATACCAGTAATAGAATTAACAAAACATTAAATATAAACTAAATACAGTACTGTATTGTACAGTATACTGTATAATAAAAAATAACAAATAGAATACTGTACTGTATTTTAACTTACTTGAGGTGTGTATGTCGTATTCCCGGCAGCTTTGTTTACATATCAAACAGCTGATTGTAGAGGCAGTCGATGATGACATGCTATATTCTTTACAGAGTGCATTGGTTCTAATGCCTTCTTCGTGTTTCATAATAATTTCTGCACTGTATATTATCAATATATTAACTAAATTTCAGATTGACCAATAATTTTAATGTAAAAATGCAAAAATATTCAAGAGACCAACAAAATCGATGTTCACTCCACTGTAAACAAAGTTAAACTGAGAAGCGTTGTTGGGTGATTCAATCAGCTGATGGGCGCACAAAAGTTGTTCCCTGTACTGACTATATTATCAATGTTAACTAAATTTCAGAATGACTAATAATTTTAATAGAAAAAATGCAGAAATATTCAAGAGCACAACTTTCTTGATATTTACTCCATTGGAAACAAATGTAAACATAGAACCAATTACTGTATTGGCGGACTAGCCGATCAGCTGATGCGCACAACAAAACGTGTTTGTCATAAGGATTTCGTTAATCGAAGTTTTGTTCGTTATTCGTTAATCGAACTGAAAATCCTTATGGGAGCTAATTTGTTAATCGAACCGTTCGTTAACTGAGTGACCACTGTATATGAGGTGGTAATAGAGGTACTGTACTTGCAAATTTAAGAACACAAAATTCTATTTTGCAAATTATTGAGATGCCACTGTATTACTTTTACATATAGCAGTGAACTTTGGATGAAAAACCCACCACTTACCCAACTTTTTCCCTCCCTGGAACACAACCACCAATAATATACATAGGTTCTACCATTCAGTACTGTATACAGTATAGGTATACCCAGTGCTGGATTAACCATGAGGCACTGGCCTCAGGCCCCCTGACTCTAAGGGGCCCCCAATTCCAAACATTCTCAAAGTTGAAGCATATAAAACATGAACTTCGTTCAACGATGTCCTAACAAAGTCTCAATTTTCTGTCTCTCATAAACATTGAATGTGTTATTTTGCAGAAGCTTAATATTGATGAAATCACTGATAAATTTGGGTATATTTTGCTCTTGCTATATATATATATACACCTTGAGGGTAGGGGGCCCCAAGTTGATCTGTGCCTCAGGTCCCTATTAAGCTTAATCCGGCCCTGGGTATACCCCAATAACCACCGATTACATATGGGGGAAATACCCTGTGAGTTTTGTTGATACACCGGAGATCCAACAATCTGGAGAAGCTACAGAGCTGTTTTGAATTTAACAGGTGGTGGCATGGCACGAATTCTTGCCACAAGAGGGTTCTGTACGCTGCCTCTGACTCATTCCTGCCTCTCTGCTCTTGTTACACTTACCATGTGTCTCTGACTTTATGTTTTTTTCATTATTTCCATTTTCGTGTATGTAACAATGACTAAACACCCCAGTGATAGTTCCACTTGTGAGGGACAGCTTGATGTGATGTGATAAGGCATAAGAAGGGTGGTGATGGACCAGTAAAGATTGGAAGCGACTTGATTTCTTCGTTATTTCCGACTTCGTGTGTTACGCAATCATGCCTAAATGCCCAAGTGATAATTCCTCTTGTGCTGCCTCTCGTAGGAGTAGCTTGATATGATAAGGTGTAATAAAAATGGCAATGGACCAGCAAAGATTGGTAAAGACTTGAACTTGTCACCCTAGACCATCTCTACCATCCTCAACACAGGTAAATAAGTTTCAATTCATGCTTTGCATTGATTATTAAAGGCGTTTTATGCTTGCTTTATTTTCTTGCTTGTCAGTGAGCACAACAAAGATATCTCAAAGGTAGATGGGAGTTTTGGAGGGTGGACGATCCCCTGAATTTATATTCTTATGGGATTACAGTAATTACTTCAGTAACTGTTGATTCACTAACAAACGACTTTTCTCGGTCTCTATAGTTGTGTGCGTCAGTTATCGGGGTATGAATAGATTTTCTGGAATGCAACCCCCTTGTTTATTGGGGAACACAGTACAATACCTGTATTATTGTTGGTTCTCTTATCAAGCCCCTGAATATTATTTCTCCTTATCCTCAGAGGTGTTCTGTAGGAGAGGTTAAGTTTTCTCGAGTTAAGGGAAAGAATTTCAGGTTTCATCCTATTCATTACTTCTGGGTGATCTGATTGTTATAGGGCTTCATTCAGTGTCGACTTCTTTTTCATATCTTATCATACCTCTTATAACGGACAAGATACATTCTTGAGGCTGGTCCACTAAGTGAAATATCCATTAAAAGAGGCCATTATAACATGGTGCTTATGGAGATGTGTTCTTGCTAACAGCAAAATTAGTCAAAATGATAAATACAGTGATATCCCTGTTTGCCGGAACAATTGGTGCAGAGCAATTCCAGGGATGAGAGATTTCCGGGTAACAAAGCGACTTTCTCAAACTCGGGAAAATTGCTTATCCCCAGAACCTTTTCCGGTTACTGGGAAAAGTTTCCGAGTGTCTAAACTAGACCTTTTGCACAGACGCACACTAGCCCACTTCTCCAGAATGTTTCTGGGTGCTGGAGATGTTGACCTTGAGTCTAAACCACTGGAATCTGTAAATACAGTTCTAATTACAGTAAGTTAGAAACTTCATTCTTTACTACAGTACAGTATAGTAATCCAGAATACAATAGTTTATGTAAAAGTTTGGTTAAATAAATATATTTAAAAATTAAAAATGTATAGGATATGGGCATGAATGAAGCTGTGTGTTACAGCAAAGACTGGTTTTTTTCCACTCCCATGAAGCTGTGGAGGATTAGTGGGTCTCGTGTAACTGACCTGACCTGATGTAATGTCAGGTGGAGGTAGGATGGGGGATTAGTGGTCTCATATTACTGATCTGATGTCGTCAGGTTACCCTTTCTTGGGTGGAGGATTAGTGGGTCTCAGGACCTGAAGATGTCTTGAATAAACACAAACCCTAAAGTATTTTTATAGAGGTACTGTAGTAGGTAAAAGGCAGCTATCACACAGGGAGCTACTACCAACTGGGAAGATATTGGAAGCATAAAGTGTTGTCTAATGGTAGACCCTGCTACCATATAGCATCACAAAAATTGTGACCAAGTCCCAGGTTGCTCATCTGTCTTTCTGCCACATTTATACACAATTGCAGGGTCTCAATTGTCTCTCTTACTACAGGTTGACAATCCCTTATCCGAAATCCTTGGGGCCACAGGCATTTCGGATTTTGGAATTTTTCGGTTTTCAGAGTTTTTTTTTTTTGTGTGTGTGTCATAGCCCACCCGGGCATACATCATTGACCCACATCAGGGCCTGGGGGGCGAAAATATTATTATTATTATTATTATTATAATAATAATAATAATAATAATAATAATAATAATAATAATAATAATATTAATAATAATAATAAAAAAAAAAATAATAATACTAATACAGTACTAATACTAATACGGTAATAATAATTCATAGTTCTAGGTCGTGTTTCTCACTTTTGATCTTTTTTACATTCTTGTATTTCTTTATTATTATTATTATTATTATTTTATTATTATTACAGTACTCCTGTATTATTGTTATTTTTATTAATTTTACTATTTTATTTTATTAATATTATTATTATTATTAATGTTATCATATTATTTTATTTTGGTGTACAGTACATGTATTTTTATTAAAAAATTTATTTACTATGAATAATTATTATTATTATAATTATTATTACTATTACTTTTACATTTTTGCCCCCCAGGCCCTGATGTGGGTCAGTGATCTATGCCCAGGTGGGCTAATCCCGGTTAAAAAAAAAAAAAAATTGCCCCACAAAGAAAAATTCGGTTTTCAGAGCTTTTCGGTTTTCGGAATTTCGGATAAAGGGTTGTCAACCTGTATTACATCTACTAGTAATCATTCTACTATTAACTATGCTATTTTTGCTGCTACAACTACCTAGTACAGGGGGCCCCACAAATTTGTGGGGGTTAGGTTCTCAAAATGGCCGCAAATCGCAAAATCCGCAAATAACATTTGCAGACAGGGGGGTGTTACATTTTGACTTGTGTACAAAAAAAAATGTATATTCTCTTTATGTGTTTGCCCTTAGGACAATTATTTATTTTACCTGTATTGTATATACTGTATATGTGCGTGCATGCACACACGCACGCACACAGGCAGACACACGCACACAGGCAGACACACACACACACACACATTTTCAATACAGGTAAAGGAAATTACTGTCTCTTGAACAAATGGCTCCCTGTCCCAGCCACAAAATTGCCGGCAGCATTAAGACTACCCACAGACAGTCTTGGGTACATCCAGGGTGTCATCCGCGAATAATAAAGGACTGCTAAGTAAAAATCCGTGAACTTGGGTGGGGGCCCTGTATATTTTTCTTGGCCAAGCATCTATGATTGTAACTATGAAACTCTCAATATCTCTAATACTGTATTGTGAACCTTCGCTATCCAATTCCTAACTTTTTTCAGTGTATGGAGATTTTTGTTATGTCATTCACCACCCACACACAAACCTCCACTACTCCCACCCCTTCTCCCTGCCACCCGTCTCCCTCACACACGCTACAATGCGACTCTGTTGAGTCAAAAAGACAATTCCTTCAGCTGCTTCATTGTTTGAACCTCAAGTATTTTGGAGTTACATTGTGGCTGACTAAGGGAATGAACTTTTGTGCATGACTGTACCTGTAAATATATAAAGTCAAGTGAAGCAACATAATAAACCAAAGTAAAATACATCTGTTACAGCAAAAAAAAAAAGAAAAAAAAAAAGAATTATAGAATACAAAGAGAGTTTTGTTTGTTCTTGGTTCTGCTCACCATGCAATGTAGAAGGATAGTGTTTAAAAAGCACAAGTGAATATTAAAATGTAATTTTGGGGGTACTGTTCAACATCTCTTGGAGAAAAGAACTTACTCTATTAGTATTAAATTATGGAGAAAAAATATAATAAGTTTATTCTGTTTACTTATCATTCAGATCTGTATGGTGTTAATCATCTTTTCATTTCCTTTAATATAATGATAGTCTGAAAATTTCCTTTTCACATAAAATATCTTTAATTAATATCATTAACAATTATTCTACACAAAATTTTACAAGATAAATCTAGTTGGAATTAGTCAAGCATTTCCACTACCTATTTAAGAAATTTACAAATAACTGTACAAATAGGTAAATACAACTGACTTTTATCCCAGGTCAACTTAACTTTAACACCTGTCAATGATCCTCAAGAAAACCTAATACAGCATGAATTTTACATGTCAGCATTGTCAGATTTACTTGAATAACTTTGAAGAATGACTTCTTTCACAATATCACTCACCTCAAGCTTTCTACCCAAGGTCAGGCATATAATAAAGATGTGAGTGGTTGGGAGGTAAGGAATGACTGTCTCAAATATTGACTTATATTACAGAAGCATTTGGGACACACCAGGCACTAACGCCCTCACTAACAAATGTTGCAAGTAACAATAATACAATATACAATTCTAAGAAACTGGATAATATAGATACAGCATAGAAAAACATATATTCCCTTTTTTTGCCCATCCCCAATAGAGACTATCATGTATTGTGTGAGAGATGGTGGTCTCCTCTAGGCACCTGTCTGACAGTAACAGCAGTCTGTAACTGACAGGCTTGTGGTATAGGTTGTTCATATTTATCTTTGGCAGCTTCGTGCCTTATGGCAGTCACAGAGAAAACTCCAAGGCTGTATGTACCTGGGCTGTTAATCAAAACACGAACAGGAACTTTGGTATGTCCCCATGGTAAGAGGTTAACCTTCCGTACAGTTCCACCTACATATAACAATTCAGTGCTGGCTTGTGGGGAGTACACATGACTGCTTACATTCCCATTGCTGAAACAGAAGAATTGTATGATTAGACTTGACTTAGTGTACAAACTCTGATATAAATCTCTTTCTTACCCATCTTTCTTCCATTTCTAATCTCATTTTTAATCTTGCACACACAACTAGTCCCTCCCTTTCGGAATCTCTCCCTCACTTAATATTCATATACTTTTACTCTCTCCCTCAACCTCAACACAGTATTTCTCCACCACCAACATTTCCCCCAATCAATCATCCTCTTTTTATTGTTAGGTACAATATTTCTACACATACTATTTTCTCCATTACCTATTTTCACTCACATTTTATTTCACATTATGCAATAAACCCAAATTCCGATTTACTGGCTTTGACAGGATGCAATTCTATCATTCTGCCCACTTAATTTTTCATTTCCCCGTGTTTTACTATGAAATAGCTTAAGTGGTAATGTTCACTTAAGATAAATAATTAAAATATTTAGTACTTCAAAATCTTATGGTCATGAAGTAATATTTAAAGACAAGGAGATGAAGTTTGCATTTGCATTACTACATGTATACTTATACATCTTACCTGTTTGGCAAACCTTCTGGGCAGAGATTGAGAAATGTAGTAAGCTGACACGCACTGCAGTTGTGCAAACAAAGTTCAAACTCTATACTGCACAACCTGTAAAGCAAGAATTATAATTACAGCCAAGCATGGAAAATGCTAGATACAAAAGGAAACAATAATAATCAAAAATTTTATAAAACAAGGTAGCTGGAGAAGTGGATATCTAGTTAAATGAAGCTACCGATACTTGGTCAAAGCTGTTCAGGATACCACAAACATTAAGTACATTTTCCATACCACCACTACCTTACATTTATTAATTTTTCTTTTGATGGTGATGAATTACGCAAGACACATGCTACAATACACTTTCAGCTCTTACCAATTACAAACTTGTCTTAATTTTATTTGAGTATTTCATCAATCCATGTACACTATCACCTTTACTTCCTGCTCCCTCCTAACTTTTTCCACATTTATTCCCTTATTACCAGCCAAAACTTCACTTTTTAGTACTTCTCTGACCCCTTCACTTCTCGAATTACTGTACATATGGTGGCATATATTGTCCATGTAACTACGTATATATGGACGTGTATTTAAAACATGCAAATGATATGAACTTGGAATGATGAAAATGCAACAGTTTGGATAAGTTCTCGTACACCTGTCTTGTCCCCACTACAGTCTGGAACTATTCAATCATTCCACTGCTTGTCCTAACATGCCACCCCTCATTTGAAAATCCTTTACAGCTTTTAACAATTCTGAATAAACAATAAAGATAATTTCTTCCTATACTGTAGATTCAATGTCAGAAAGAAGGAAATCTGGGTTGATAGCTTACAAATAATATTTTCTAATAACTGTTCTTATAAATGGATCACTTAAATCTTTTGCTAAAAATTGGGGTACCAAAATCTGTAAAATTCTCATGGATAGAAGGCCGAAGATAGGTTACCTAAACCACACACATTTATTAGCCTTATCCCCGACCCTTTCTTCCATATGCTCAATGTATTCCTCAGCTAGTTTGTCTTGTCTGTTACATACTTTCTCCAAATCAACTAAATTACCGGAAATCATATTCATGTGGTCGTCACAATTTATCTTGTACAGTACTTTATAGTTTTTTAGTCACCCAAAAAGGTCTACTATTCTACAAATAGCAACAAAACTACAATTGGAAAAAAAAAGGGAAAGAATAGCAAAATAACTGCTTGTCAGGGACTTTTACTGATAACAAAAACCAAAACTTTGCATACCAACAAACCCCCAAAGTGTCAGCTAGGCACACACAATTCTCTTAAAGTAACTCCAACCAATGTCATGTTGCAAAATGGAAATTAAATTGTTATAACAGATGAGAACATGTCACAATTAGTCGATGCAACCTTAAATTAGTAAGTTAACAATTTATGTGCTGCTTCCTAGTCATTGAGGTGGCACCCTCCTTAACAACAGGGAATAATGTACTAATTGTCCAGAACCTAAACTATCACAGAGAAAAGATCTACACACACACCCAAGTAATTATTAAATATAAGCCCTGCATGGCAAATATCAACTAAGCCAAAACTAATTACCTACTTATAGATGTCTACTGCTTCTTTCCCTGAAAAAATTCCACTGAAAGAGGTAAATAAAGGTACCATAGTTTTATAGCACATTATTTACTCACCTGTTGGTCATAAAATCATGTTCCATACAATCTGGAAAATGAGCAGAGATTTTGACCAAATGTTTTTGCTTGAATGCTGGGGGGAGAGGAGACTGTAGTATCTGTGGCGGGCTTTCTGGAATTATTCTGATCGGAGGTTTCTCTTCTTCTCCAGCCTGGATCAGAGGGGAGCTAGGTATGCTTACACTGTCACCAAGGCTCTTTAAGTGAACACTATGTTGGCCCCATGTCTCATGCCCACCTCTTTCTCCCTGTAATATGAGATTTACATGAAGAATTTTAATTATTGAGACTGTAGCTAAATTAATTATCAAAGAAAACATAGCAGTAGAACCGCCAAAAGGGCTAATATACAAACATTCTTTATAATTGTTCCTTTTCTTCATGTTATCCTTTTGCCCAAGCCATCCATAATACTTGGTCAGAAAAACAAGACTTATTAACATTAACCATATAATACCCTTTCTCAGTGTTACATATACAGTGATATCCCCGTTAGCAGGAACAATTGGTGCAGAGCACTTCCGGGAATGAGAGATTTTCGGGTAATGAGGCGACTCTATCAAAGCCGGAAAACAATCTCTCATCCTCGTAATTTTCCGGGTAATGGAAAAATGTTCTTGGAAGTTCCAGAAATTGCCCATTACATCATCTCTCGAACCCGGAAAAATATCCCTCATCCCCAGAATTGTCCGGATAACGGAAAATTTTTCTCAGAATTTCCAGAAAATGCACCTGATTTTCATCTCTCAAACCCGGAAATAACTCCCCCATCCTTGGAATTTTCTGGGTATCGGGAAATTTTTTTTCAGAATTTTCCAGAAAATGTGCCCCTCTGAAAATGTCAATTCCAGCTGTCGGAGAGTTCCGGGTTTAAGGGGTTCCAGCTAAGGGAGATATTACTATAAGATCCCAATTAGCTTATCAAGATATGTTGTATTTGTCCAAACTACAATGCAGTAAAGCCTCTGGTAACAACGGTTGCACCAACAACTCTTCATATTTAAGACCCTAGTTAATTTAGGGCCCAATTCAATTTACGTCCTTATTTCATTCGCATTTCCGACTAAAATAAAATTACATTTTCATATAAATAATAACTAAATCCCGATATGTATTAAAAAAAATTACTGAATAAAAAAAGAAGAGCTCCTTGCACAAAGAAGCTGCCTGGCTAATGAGTGGTAATGCACATCACCAGTAAACAACAGTCGGAGCTTGGCGGTCCCTTTGTTTTCAAGCATCTGAACAGGAATAAGGATAAAAATTTTCTCAGGTTCCTTACATTTTTGAGTCCCTATTCAACATGAGCAAGAGAGCAAGTGATGGTAGTGCTGGTTCAAAAGCTAAAAGAAAGTGTATAAGCTTAGCTAAGAAACTAGATGTGTTAAAACGATATGAAAAAGGTGAGAGGGGTGTGGATATTTTGCGTGCTTTGGGGATGCCAGAATCAACAGTGAAAACTATCCGTAGAAATGGAGAAAAAATTAAAGAAAGTGCTCTGTCTACAACTCCGTTAAGTGCAAATAAAGTTTGCCAAAGCAGGAATGGGGTTATGGAAGAAATGGAGAGAGACTTTTAAGTACATGGATTGAAGAAAAAAATCAGAAACATACTCCAATGAGCACTATAATTATTCAAACAAAAGCCCGAGCTGTTATATATTACTGTACAAATAATTGCATAAAGGAATAATTTATATTATTAAAGCAACAACTGTATTTATTTACTTTAAAAGTTGATTGTTTATATGATAGACTCACTGTAGGGAGGTGGATTTATATGGAAACTCACTGTAAAGGGAGCAGGAAATAAACATGTGATTTAGAAGCCTGTGCTTCAATCTCTCCTACATAAATAGCCTTAAGAAATGAAGATGCCACACTAGCATTGTTTAAGGATCTTAAAAATTCAAGTAAAAGGGAAGTGTTAAAACAGAAAAGCAGCTGTTCTTTAGACAATTTTATTATTCGAAGGACTAAACCATCAACTTCAGCTACAGCATCTACACCATCAACATCAGCCACAGCTACACCATCTACTTCAGCTACACCATCAACATCAGCTACAGCATCAAATTCAGCAACTACAGGATCATTAACAACTTCAGCAACAGCTATGGCAACATTATGGAAAGCTACAGCTTCAACCAGAGTTGAACTTGATGACTTGGCAATTTCGTCATCCGAGTAAGTACTCACACAACAACATTGGCTGTCCTTATGTTTTCAACTTTACCACCACTGGTGAGTAGAATTTTTGTTTTAAATTCAGAAACATTAATTAAAACATATATGAACAGTATTAAGTGTTGTTTTCATATTCTTATGTAGAGTAATGAAGATATGTTTTCACATGTGCACACTTACATACGTTGGCGTTACGCAGCCTCACTTTTTTCTTTACCATTAATGGTTAGCTACTTCTATTGTTCCATTTATTAACATTAATTAACATTACTTAAAACGACCATATTAATTTTTTTACATTAATTTTACTACAGCTACAACCAGGGTCTTATTTTCTTCAGTTTTATATGTAGAACCAGTCAGTCACATGTGTAAACATTAACGAAACAATGCCGTCTCATCTCCTCGTGTGTTTTAATATTCTACATATTATTAATGAATTGTATTGTTCATTTTGCACACATAAACATTAATTCAATCAAAAAGACATTCAGTAATAAACAATAATGAATCTTTTGTACATAAAAGAAATGACGCTGTTTACACGATTGTGCACGTTTGAACGTTGGCCTTCTGTTGTCTCACTTTTCTTCTTTACCATCAGTGGTTACTTCTACTGCACATTCATTAAATAACATTAATTAAAAGAAACATTTCTTTTACATTATTTTTACTACAGCTACAACAAATCTTATTTTCTTTAGTTTCAGATGGAGAACCATCGTCCCGGGTGTAAACACTGACGACAACAATGGCGTCCCATCTCCTCTGTGACTACATATTATTATTCATTTATATTGTAGAAGGTGCATTAATAACCATTATTTAAAGACTACAGTTTTTATTTTTCATTAATTTTCCTTTTTTGGGGGGAAAAGAGGGTAAAATACCACACAACATATATGAAAAGGTTAGACCTTGGAACGCATCTTATTATTATTGCTTTATTCTAATGGTAATTAAGGATTCATTTTATGTCGATTCACCTCTACGCTGCAATATTGGAGGACACATTACCGTTGTTATTTGAGGCCTTACTGTACATTAAGAAAAGAATATGAAGTAAATAACAGTAGCTCTTAAGATTGCCACCATACTACACTACTAAATTTTTAACTCGCCCAAAATAAAAAAATCATAAAAGCTACTGCTGTAATTCCTTTTAAGGACATAATGTAATTTTAGCAACTTTGGTCTTCAACCTTCAAAATTTACAGAAATATTCACAAACTGATTTTAACAAATTCCATAATAAAAGAAAGATTTAAAATTTGCAAAAAAATCCCTTCCAAATACATATTTAAGCCACTAAACCATTCACTGCTTACTTTGGATATCAACAGACCCTATTCCTCAAATTTTTATATAAATTTATTTTCTGACTTATGACACAGCTTTATACTTCTTCTTCTACCCATACTAATACAGTGGTCCCTCGGTTAACGAACGGTTCGGTTAGCGAAATTTCAGTTAACGAATTACCTCCCATAAGAATCTTCAATTCGGTTAATGAAAAAAATTTTATTAACGAAATCCGCACGAAAATCACATTTTGTTGTGAGCATCAGCTGATGGGCTATTCTGCTTATTCAGTAATCTGTTCTATGTTTACATTCGTTTCCAATGGAGTAAATATCAAGAAAGTTGTGCTATTTAATATTTTTGCATGTTTTATATGAAAATTATTAGTCATTTTAACATTTATTTAACATATTGATAAAATATGCTGTACAGTGAACTAGTTTGTTGTGCACCCATCAGATGTGTGAGTCGGTCACAAGGCTCAGTTGAGCTTTGAAAACAGTGGAGAGAGCATATACAGTATTTTGTTGGTGTCTTGAATATTTTTGCATTTTTCATTGAAATTATTGGTCATTCTGAACTTTAGTTAACATATTGATAATATATAGTGCAGTGCAGTTGATTTAAAGAAAATAATCTTGAATTACACCTAATGAACTTAAAATTTTATTGGTGAAATGACTGCATCAAGCATGGTTCCCTGAAAGGTGATTTCTCCTCCATCCCCACTTCCTTCTCTTCTCCCTTCTCCTCCATCCCCACTTCCTTCTCTTCTCCCTTCTCCTCCATTCCCACTTCCTTCTCTTCTCCCTTCTCCTCCTCTATCCCCACTTCTAATTCCCATCATCGTCATCAACCAGGAACCTTCTACATACACACATCAAAGTAAGTGTACTTTACTGCATTTTTTTTTTACTTTGTATGTACTTTTCGGTGAGCTGGAACCAATTACCCAATATCCCATTGAAACAATGGATTCGGTTAACGAAATTTTCGGTTAACAAACGACCTTCTGGAACGAATTGTGTTCGTTAACCGAGGGACCACTGTACAATAATACCAATACAGTAAGGCCCCGCTTAACGTCAGGGTTACGTAACTAAAAATGTGACGTTATACGTAACAACATTAAGCGGCTCAATTTTTCCCATAAGAAATAGATAAAATACGGGAGCTACGTTCCTGAGCCTCCCTTTGCCCCATGAAATACATTACATTTACAGAAAATCATTGCCATTTCTATACAAATAGTGCATACATATACAACTACTAAGTTTGTATTGGTACTCACCGATGGGCGGAGGTGGTAGAGTGAGTGTGTGGTGGGTAGTGGAGCAGAGGAGGCGGATGGCGGGAGGGGAGGAGCATGGTGGGAGAGGAGGAGGGTGGGAGCGGAGGAGGGTGGGAGAGAGGAGGCAGATGGCGGGAGGGGAGGAGCATGGTGTGAGCGGAGGAGGAGGGTGGGAGTGGAGGAGGGCAGGAGAGGAGTAGGGCGGTGAGTCACTGAGACTGCGCCAAGCTGAGAGAGAATAACATGGCAGACGAGAGCAGGTGATGCACCGTAAAATGTAGTCTGTGACGACGCAAAACGACGTAATATTGGATCACCAGGACGTTAAACGAATTTTTGGTCTCTAAAGTTTAGCGAAGTAGTACAGTACTGAAACAACATTAAACGGGACGACATTAAGCGTGGACTTACTGTACTGTACTACCATTAAACTAAATATTTCAACAACAATGTACAGTACTTGGGGCACAGTTATATGTAGCCTATAAACATGGTTTAAAATACCAAAAAAATCATGAAAACCTTTGAATACTATACTGCACACTACACTTTTGAAGGTTGAAGACCAAAGTTGCTAAAATTACAGTGTATTTTACATCATCATCACTTCAGTCAATTCTTTCAATCGAAAAGTAACTTTTGTAAACTGTCCATAAAAGAGAGAATTCTGCAGTTGAGGCTACATTGTAGAGAGATTTTGTACTACTACTACTACTGTAATGAATAATATAAATATCTAACTAAAGCTTAATTTACCAGTCAACTAAACCATCCCATCAATCCTCAATAAAGAACTGGGTATATGTACCCGTATTCCACAACTAAAATAGTAATTCCACTACATGTATTTTGAACCATCATTCATTGAATGACTTGAAGCTTGTATAGTATTTAGTCAAGCATACCAACTGACCAGATGTAGTCATGATTACAGTTTCAATATAATCTGCCAGGTTCCAGATTCATAAGTCATGGATGGGAAGATACTTTTTTCTTAGACTGACACACAGCACTTAAGATTATGACCAAAAAGAGATGAGAAACAGAATAAATGGGAATCAAAATATATTTTCTTAACCTTAAACTATGTCTGTGCAGATTATCAATGCCCAACAGCCCAGGCATGCCCAGACTAGGGGCTGGACAAGTTATTTTTCATGTCCAAGTGCCTGACACTTTAAGAGGAAGATACTTAAGACAGGAATTTATCAAGTGCTGTGTCTCCACATCACTGCATATGTTTAAACAAGGAGGTCCATCAACAGGCTGCTTGTCAGCAGTGTACCAGGACTAGTGACCTTATGTCAAGTGCAGGTAATTTATCTTTACATTAAGCTGCCAACCCACCTTTAGTCAGTCAGTGTCAAGTTATCAACATTTCAAAGGAACCACCAAGCTGAGAAGCTGTACACATAAGGTGATTTGAGTTATGACTTCACATCACAAATGTTACTGCCAATGATACCGGATTATAAGGGGGGAGTGGTAGCTAGGTTAAGTAATCACAGGTGCCATGCCTGTCACTGCCACCCACCAGGAAGTGAGGTGACAGGAGATATGACATCACATGACAAGGGTTACTACCATTGACATCATTTAGATTCAAGACAGACACAAGTAATCTGAGTTGATATACACCTCAAGTTTGAATGTTTCATGATGTTTATTGAACTTTTCCCATAAACTAATCCAGGCAAGCAAACTTCCCCCCAAAATTTGGCAGAGTTAAAAAAAAAGAAAAAAGTCACTTGCCCAAGACTAGTAAATGTTCCACATAATCTGCACAGCCTATTTAAACTTGAGATCAAACATCCTTACCTTCCATATAACGGTAACAACCATATCTAAACTGTTTACTGCAGCTATGTGTTTAGCATCTTGCTGAGCTTGGGTTGGTGGTGGAGGAATATGGTCTGCATTTGGCTTTGGAGGTGGAGGATCAGTTAGAAGATCTCGTAGACTTACACGTTCTCTTAGTGAAAAACGCCACCAAGAGTTCAGAGGGACCTTTGAGAAAATTATCTATTTATCAATTTCATCTTTATATGAAATTAAAGATAAACATAAACATAAAACCTCATTCTATCATAAATCTATTTCATAAATTTATTTTTTCTCAAAATGAATGAAGCTCTTTCCATAATAAGTAAGACATAAACATCCCTTAGGCACAATAAAAATACTGCAGTACTGTATTGTAGTCTCTTAAAAAAAGAAAACTATGTCAGGTCAAAACTGCTTACGTTGGAAGGACAGGACACATTAAAAATTTGGGAAAAATTCAAATTACTGTCCTAGATAACCTTTTACAGGTACCGAACCATTTATCGGGTTTCCAGGAAACAGGGTTTACCTGAAAATTGGTTGTTTTTGAACCTGGTTAGTTTTGAAACTGGTAGGTTTGGCTGACCACAGTGTTTTGCTTTTGGTAGCGTCAAGGTGGTGCACCTCAGTTATAAACAGCCAACATCTGTGTTTACTTGCCTTTCCCTACTTTTTGTGGGTGGGCTAATCTCCATAAAAAAAAGGGAGGGGGGCTTAGAACCAGAAATCCACCAAATCCAGGAATTCGGTACTTAGATAAATTTTTTCAGTTCAATTAAATCCCTTCAATAATAGAATAAAAGAATGCTATACGCTGTATTTTATTTACTGTATAAGCCTATTTACTCCTATTCCACTCTTATACAGTGGATAAAAGTATAACTGAAACCAAAAATAAAGAGGAAAATGATAAAGGCACTGTGGACAAGGCATATTATAGAAGGCAAGAGGAAAGGATTACAAAATGTAGAAATACCTACACATCTGCTTACATCCTCAACTTTCATACGAAATATACAGAATGAATCCATGGCCTCCACATTGAATCACAGAGCATCCTATCAGTTCATTGGCCATACCAAGTATTATCTGAACTATTGTTCACCCAACTCCACTGTTTACATGATTTAACTGTCATATCAATCATTTCAGCGATTCTGGTGAAATTCTAAAATTGTTTTTTAAACTATGAATATACTTACTGAAATAATAAAGAATATTAATACATACTGTATTTGATGAACACAACATCAGCATTTCAAAATACACTAATATCAATGGCTGAATGATAAATGATGCACACAGTACAGTATAGTCTGGATTTACGCGGATTTTGTTTACGCGTTTGGTCATTTACGCGGTGCCTTGCCAGGATGAAATGTTTTAATTACGCGGTAAATTTAATCAGTTATGTGGGAAGCGGCACAGGCATTATGCGCATTAGGTCGCTCTTACGTTATCGCTGACGTCATATGACGTATTGGACTGTGATTGGGCCACGCATCCTTACCACCCACGCATTCCCTCCGCCGTTAGCTGTGATTGGTCTAATGTAACATGACGTGCCCTGCCACCAGAAGTTGCTGACCTAGCCGGGCCAGTCTCATTGTTCTCAGTCCGCGTATACAGTTCTCTCTTGTGCCCGCTATTCCCCTCACAATGGCTTCCGCTGGACCCCCACCACCCAAGAAAAACCTTGAATTACCTGGACCAAGCCATGGTTATGTGAAGGAAATCATCGAGTTGGGGGAGAAAATCAAGCTCGTCCTTGAGAAAGACCCAGTCAATCATCGGTATGAAGTGTCTAATAACCTTCTGTCGAAAATTATGGAGCCGTATGTCCAGATCTATCACGACATCAATGCTAGTCGTCAACGTAGTATTAAGGACTTCTTCGCCCGCAACCCACTACAACCACAGCCAGCCCAAGTCAGTGATAGTGACAGTGAGGATATGGACTTTGAGGGGTTTGTCAGGGAGGCCCTGCAAACCTTTGCGAGTAGCGAAAGTGATTCACCGGAGGGCAACTAATCTGCCCTCTGCCTCGGAACCAGCCGCCATCCACGTGTGCCGACCCATCTCTTCTACTAACCTTTAGATTTGTAGTTTTTTATTTAGATATTATGTGTGTAGCATTACCATCATAAAATTATGATGTTATTTTTACTACAAGGTACGTATTGTGTCGGAAAACGTGGAGTTTGGGAGTCGGCCCAGTCTCTTTCAATTAATCCCATATGTTCTGTTATTTCGTTTACGCGTTTCCCGTTTTACGCGGACCTCCACGGGTTCAATTGACCGCGTAAATGCAGACTATACTGTATAATAAATGTGTTTTTTGACAAGGATATCTGAAGATCATTGAGATAAGTTTTAAAATGACAGGCTTTCATTTTTTTAATTACATGAAATGACTTTGTTTACTCATAAAGCTGAGAAAATACTCTTTCCTGCTTACAAAACTGGAGCCTCCTGTCTTTTTTAATAAAAAGTTAAAAGGACGTTTACATTACTTCTTGTGCCACCCTCAGAATATTCTTCATTGCTGCATGTTGTCTCCTGCAATGGGTTATTTTTCATTCTTTTGAAACACCATGATACATGCATTAATTAAAATTGCCATCCTATAAACACTGGAAGTAGCATCATTCACAGGAATCCACACTCTAAGTTAACAAATTTTCTGAAGTACAGTATGATTTGAACATCAAGATAATTACCAGGTATATAGTATTTGAAATCATGTTAACATAGTGTTATTTTAGATTATAATTAAGCAGCAAAAATTAGCTTACCTGACTACTCCCAAAGTGAAGCTGTGAAAGAATCATACCACTAGTTCCTTTCTTTGCGTGTTGAACACACTTGACACATAGATGACAAGACTCTCCAGGTCTCAGCTGCTGACCTTTACCAAGAAAAAATAAATTTTTAAATAATTTCCTCAATATGCAGTAAATAATTAAGCAAATAAGGAATGATAAAGAAAAATAATCCAACTAAAAGTAGGGCAGTAAATAAATACAAATAAAAAGATAAATACACAGATGATAGCTAATTAAATAACTACCCGTAATTGCTTTTATATACTCTTAAGCTGAAACAATGATATTGAATTACAGGTGTCAGGAAACTGGTTAGTATAGTATCAATATCATAAAAAGGCAATTCCTGAGAAATGACAAAAGCCTCTAAGCTTCTTAAATCTCAAACAGCTATGATGATACAGTTGAACCTCTAATCCAACAACCTTGAGACACAATCAGAGTTGGATCATAGACTTTTATGACTAATGGGAGTTTATGTATAGCATATACTGAATACTCCAGTACAGTTCAAGTTTTTTTTTTATAAAATTTTTATGCAAAAAGTAGGGAGTCGAACTATATAGGCATAGTATTTTGCAGGGGTTAAAATTCATATATTTCTCTGGGTCATTTAAGGTGAACGATAGCTACCCAGTATAAGCTCATGGTAGGCTAACCTTACCAGTAAGCTCCTTTATCCTAGGCTTGCCTACCATATCCATAGATTCTTTCTTACGTTGCTGCATGAAGAGCAGAATCTCATTCAATATACTGTATAATTATGCCACTTCAAATCTACAAATACCTGAGACAAATGAAGATTTACAGATAATTTTCTTTTCATTTGTATCTTTTATCACAACTGGTGACATTACTGTAACCGGTAAGTTAGACTTCTCACTATAGCTACATCCCTCTAGCCCTCCCCCCCACCAGTCTGAACTGGTGAGGTGTCATAGTTATTTTTCAACTCAAAACATAGGTTGATATACATAACTTTTTTTATTTTCTATTTTACTCAGTTACATTCACACACAATCCTACATACATATTATGCCCCAAAAATTATCAAAAGGTCAAACACATAAAGGTTATAAACATTTCATTGTGCATGAGAACACGTGCATGCGTGTGTGTGTGTGTGTGTGTGTGTGGCTCCATTGCTTGTGGGTAGGCAAAGGCAGAGTCCCAACTGGGCTGTGTTGCAATGGCAGGTGTTAAGGCCAAGCAGCCAGCGTGAATACAAATGTCAGTTGTATTAAACCTACATTTAGCTTTTCTTTTACCCCTACGCCCCGGTTGACATTCAAGAACGCGTGCCTTTTGCAGCATTGTTTGAATGCCCAGCGCGGGTTATCAGGTTCCAGTGTGACTATTTACCTGTCACGCCACACACTCCGCCACAGGGAAGCTTCCTGAATATAAGTACTTACTTTTGTTTGTTTCATTTTCATTGTTTGTCCATTCTATCATGTTGTATCAAAGTAATATTGCTAAAAGTAGTGTAGTATTACTGGAAAATAATGCTATGATTATGTTATAAATGTATTTATTTGTGGAATTATTATTCTGATAATTATTTATATACATTACTTGCTCTACCAAAAACAAAGACAGTCAGACAGTCTGGCGACAGACTACATGTGTCGCTGAGCATTTTTTATGAAAAAAATGCAAGTAAAATATTCTAAATGAATTATTCATAGGGAATAAGTATTATGATCAGTAAATATATGCATTACTGGCCATCCCGGACACAAAGGCAAGCAAAAAATGGCCACTAAGTGAGTAGTGACCACGAGAGTCAGCCGCTGCTGTCCCAGGGAAGTTTCTAGAGGGTCAATTTTTACTATTATTTTACTTCTTTTTGATTGGTTTATCATTTAAAAAGATTTTTAAAAATTTGGAAACGCCGATTTTTCTTGATTTACCCCGTGTGGAGGATACGGCCAGCGGCACCATAGCCCGGGGAGTAATGATTAATGGTTTTAGCTGTATTTTTTCATCTAGATTGTATACTAATGTTGTTTGAAGTAGTACAATTATTAATAACATAAGAAAAATAGGTAGTGTGGTTTATGAATGCTGGGAAAGGAGGTACAGGGAGTTGTGAGTTTGCTTCAGCCTTAAAATTAATTTCCATGTAGGCTGTTACTTTACATTTGTGATAATACAGTACACGTATTTCTTAAAAAAATTTCAGTATTTGATATTGGTTTTGCATTTATAATAGCAACACCACACTCATCAATATAGCCACATCCCCCTAGCCTTCTCCCTATCACTCCAGGCCAAGCTGTCAGATATGTTATGGATATTTTTATATTAGTGATTTCAGGTGGGTATTCTTGGCCGCCTCAATACTTGCCTGTCTCCATAGCAATGCCCTCCCCTCTCCCACACACTCAGCTCCTTCCCACTCACCAGCTCAGCCTCCTAATTCGCACACGAAGAAATATTTATTTCCTTTGTGTGTTTGCCCTTAAGATAACTATTTCTTTTACGTTTTTTTCACAACATGTGAGTAGGATTGTGTGTGTATGAAAAAAAAAAAATTACATATATCCATACGAAAGTACAAGTTGAAAATAACTATAACACCGCACAGCTTGGTAAGGTTGGTCTAACATGAGTGTGTCCCTGGTAGCTATTGTTTACCGTAAATGACCCACAGAAATTAATGAATTTTACCCTCCAAAAAATACTATGCACATATACTGGAGTTCGTTCCCTACTTTTGGCATTAAAAATTTTTCATAAAAACTCAAAACTGCACTTAAGAACACACGGAAGACTGTACTGTACACATCATCCACTTTATCTCACAGTGCACAAGGTCATCCATGCCACATACACATACGTCGGGAGCCTAAAATAATCTTCTCTGTGGCTCTGAAAGCTTCTAGAATCTAGAACCTTATCTACATCTTTTAACAAAAATAAAAAAGTCTGAATTTACTGAAAGTACTGTATACCACAAGTACAGTATGATCATTTTTCTTGAACCAATTTATTATGAGATTAAATAAGCCAATCTAAGTTAGTGTAATATCCTGGCTGTTTTGGATGTCTGAATAATGAATTCCATCTGATTAACGACATCATTGTGGATTAATTAGTCCAGTACTCGGGGTTTTTACTGTATATTATTTTATCTTATTCCTCATAGGAGTTGGTAACTGATGGAAATTCAGTTTCAGACATGGTAATACTGTTCACGGTGTCAGCTGTTGTGGTGGTGGTCACGGCCAAGACTAGTTGGTGTTATCTTGCTACAAATTATGTCTAGGATTATACCAACTACAGTATTTCTCAAATGCTAGGGTCAAATTGTACAATAAATACAGGTACAGTACAGTAAATGAAAAACTCAGGCTTTTTACAATAAAAATCATGGGTCAAACTATTTATGAAATCAGTTTATATACGAGTATATACGGTAAGTTACAGGGTAAAAATTACTTAAGAAAGCTTCACGCTGCTCATAATTGTTTATCTTCCTCGTAGAACTACAGCATTTAGTACTCTAAAATATAAGTTGTTTGATATTTTCTTAATACTGTACAGAATTACAATAAAGGGGATATAATTTAGAAATTAACATTTGAAAATATGACAATTTTCAATTGAAGTAAAAAATTTTCAAGTGAAGTTAATGAAGTGTCAATGGATATTACCTGTATGTGTCACCTTTGTTTTGTTCTAAAATCACAAAACTTGATGGGTATGACGTACAATGTGTTCTTCTAAAATTAAGTATCGGCTTTAAGATAGGTTTTAACTAGTCCCTTATTGTATGCATTTACAGCACTTAAGCCTAGTGTCAAAAATCTATTTTGTAACTTACAAAATTTTCAGATGCAAATACAATACTGTACTGTACTCGTGCGGCAGCAACATTATTTGCATGCAATGTTCATAAGAAGAGGTAAAAAAAAAAAAATATGCACTACAGTATTTCCTAAAGTGTCTGGACCAAGAGAGCTTCCCATTAATGGAAATCAATATTAGGGAGGTTCAACCTGTATTGTACTGAAAAACTGGATAAGCAACTGCCATCACACTTGGATATTTTCTTGCAATTATCCAATGTGGCTAATAATATATAAAATGGATTAGTTATCTTTTGTGTGGATTGGTCATCACTGTGTGTCATCAGTAAACTATGGCCAGGATGGCTCTTAACCTTTAATCAGTGGATAAAGATTTTCAAAGCTGCCCCCATATGTGTAAATCTGGAAGGCAAGGATCATGAAACATCAATTATTATTGGCCGCCCGCCATCCCAACAGCTAACATCAATTGATGATGGCTGCCTTTAAAGGTTAACCAAAAGTAAGAAATAACTCCCATTTTTGCCATTTACTGATCATGTAGTCATTCACAATGCATTAAATTCAGGATCTGGTAAGTGATTTAGATGGCCAAGACAATGCAGTGTGAAAATATAATGGGTATACCATTTAGACTCCTAAATGAGTAAAAACTAAAAGGAAAAACATAAATTTTGAAATAAACCATAATGTTGGCCCAAATGAGCTTAAAATTAGATGTGCACCTAACACATTAAGAGTAGGTTGGCAACATGAAAGAAAAATTGCACTAACCTTGCAAATTTGAGTGAGGTACAACTGCCCACTTCCCACTATTACCGCTCAATCCAACAACTGTGTATGAACTGCAGCTGCTGTCTACCTGCAATCAAAACCAAATACTGTATTAGTGTTTACTGTTATTCCCTTCAAATAAATACTGTAGTTGTGAACTTATTGTTGACTCCTCTGCTGGAGCTTAGCATACTACACAAAGGATAAATAAAATCATCCAGGATTTTCAGCAATACGCATGACTATGATGGAGAAGAAAGATTTGTGCCTCACTGATATTGTTTATCTTGTAAATCTTCTCAAGAGGAAAAGATTTACTTCAGCTTTATTTACATTAAAAGCTTCTGCCTTTTGATGTGGATTTGATTTCCTTAAAAGAAAAAAAATCTCAAAAGGGGTCATTAATAATGCCCAATGTTTTCTTACCAATAATCCCTTTCATGTGTTTGTGCGAGGCTCAATTTTTTAAGGTTATTCATTAGTACAGAGGAACTTCATTAATTTGATAGACGGGGGCAGGGGTGGGTCAATTTAGTCAATACAGGGGGTCCCGGGTTACAAACGGGTTCCGTTCCTGAGGACGTTCTTAGGTAAAAAGTGTATGTAAGTCGGAACACATGCTATGTACAAACCGTACTTTTGGAAAAGTGTCTAAAATCCCACTAAATCATAGCCTAGGCCCTTATATACATCTAAAATCACTTAATTTAAGATAAATAAAGAACTTGAATGACAAAATACAGTAAATGAAAGTAAAAAAAAAAAGTCATCAGGTAAATAAAATAATGTAAATTTAAAGTTTAACCTCGTTCGTATCGGCGGGCATTCGTAAGTCGGACGTTCGTAAGTCAGGGACCCCCTGTAATTAGAAATAAATTAGTATACAGTAGTTTACTTGGGGTTTCATGTATATCCAGCCAAACAACAAAAACTGGCACTGTAGCAAAGCCTGTGTTGGGCAGGGATGGATAGTGAGCATGGCATGCAGTAAGGGACTGTGGGGAAGGCAAGGGGTGGGCAATGGGGTAGGTGGCAGGACAGAAGCTTGGCAGTAAGGCATGGCAGGCAGTGAAGATGTGAAGGAAATATAGTATGGATGCTCATCTCCTTTTTCCAGGTTGAAAGCTATATCCCAAGATTTTTTTTTATATACTTAAGGTTTTACTATAAGACAATCTCAAATCAACACTTTTTTCATTGTTGGCATAACTGTTATGAGCAAAAATTTCCTGTTTAATACTGAAAAGTCTTTACCAACAAGCTAAGTTAAATATTTTTTTTAGTGGTAAATATAATTACTCATTTGTTTCATTGATACATCTGCCTTCACCTCTTACCTCAGAGTTGTTGTGAGCTTCTATAATAAGGTTAGATGTGTAACTATAAACTCCTTCATTCTCTTGTTGGTGCCCTATAAACTCTTGCAAGTTCTGACTCATTGTTGAAGACGCCTTCAAGCTTAAGCTTCTTTCTACATAAATACTGCTGAAGTGTCGTAACAAACGATATCTGAAAAAGCCATTTACAACAAAAAATTAATTGGGAAGCACGATGTTTTGAGCTATAACAGTAATGATTTCTTCATGCTGAAGATACAAATAAAATGTGAGTCTTAACCTATACAAGTGCTATCTTTTTGTCAGATTCAATTTGAAGCATGGAGTAATATTAACAACCCTCAAAAGAGGCTAAAAAAAATTATATGAACATATATAACCATAGAAAATAAACTACTACATTCTATCTATCTGGTGTCCACGACGGATACATCATAGAAAATTTGTAAGGCATTAACCCTTTAGAGGGCAAAGTATCCCTTAGGTATATTGTTCTGGTTAATGCCAGATGATTTTATTCAGCTGGGGGGAGCCCTGCCTGTTTAAGTGTTAATAGGGTCACCAAACTTTGCATTATGTAGTTTCACAGTTAATGGCAGACAAGGCACTTTCAATGGCTGCTATATCCCCAGTGCTCCTAATCCAACTTCTCTCTATGTCACCAAATGTAGTGAAACTATTTTTACCTACCTTCATAGGCATTTTGTGCCCCGAGGTTATTGCTCATGAACGTATTTTATTAGAAATACCATGCAGTATACAGGGTGTTTCAGAAATATTTTTCATAATAGGGGGGGGGGGAGGGTATTCCTGAGACACACATAAGGATAAATGACTCCATGACCATAATGTCAATACCCCAAAGTTTCAGATTTATACCACAAAATTGGATAGGGGAGGACTGCAACAAGTCTATGAATATAAAAAATAAAATATCAATCCCTATTTAAAGCAAGTGGGTCTGTTGCCAAACTTGACACTCCACATGCAGTGAAACGTAGATCTCATCAGGTAAACTTCCCAATCAATGTTTGGGCTGGTATTATTGGTGACCACCTTATTGGCCTATATCTGCTACCCGAGCGACTGACAGGTAAAACATACACACATTCTCTTGGGGTCACTTTGCCAATGATGCTTGAGGATGTGTCCATCAGGATATGTCAACGACTGTGGTACATGCATGATGGTGCCCCAGCTCATTTTGCCCTAGTAACAACAGAATCCCTAAATGTTGGGTATCCTGGCAGGTGGATAGGGCCCTGTTCCATGGCTACCTCGATCACCTGAACTAAATCCCTCAATTTCTACCTGTACTTGTGGGGTCATGTTAAAGTCAAAGTGTATGCTAGAGAGGTCCTAACTCAAGAGGAATTGTGATGCCAAGTACAGTACAAGACAATAGCACAAACATTCGCAACACCCCTGGAGTCTTCGAACGTGTACGAAAGTCACTTTTGCAACAGACTGAAGCCTGCATTCAGGAAGAGGACCAGAACTTTCAAAATTTTATGTAAAATTCATATCAGACTGCATATGATTGTAAGTACAGTAAATTACACTAGCACCACTGGATATTTCATTTATACTTCATAGATTTTATCACATTCCAGCCCCAACTGTCATGTGCTATAACTCCAAAACTATGGAGTATTGACACTATGGTCATGGAGTCTTTATCCTTCTGTATGTCTCAGGAATACACCCCCAGAATTATGAAACCTATTTCCCAAACACCCTGTATATTCCTAATGCTGATTTATACTCGACAGTTCTCACTATTAAATAGTGACTTGGGTCTGGGAATGCAGTTCAACGGCTGTGTCCCTTTATGCTATTAATTTTTATCTTAACTGTTGTAACATATGTTCCACTAGGGCATTCCATTCCACAGAAATATGCCTCAAGACACCTACAGTAGTGTACAGTATTTGGTCTATCCTTGTCACTTCACACACTTTAGCATTTTGCACCAGTAGAAATTTCATCCCCAAAATCACTCACTACCAATCTCTTCAGCCATCCATACACTCTTCTGCTTCCTTCACTTCTTTGCAACTTCTAAACCATCGCTCCATCTTGTTCTTGGTTTTCCCCTCCCTCCTACCATCCATCACTGAATTATATACTGTACATGTAAAAAATTTTTTTACCAAACTTTCACTTCCTATTCTCTTAATTCAGTACCGTAATATACAGGTACTCCTCGACTTACGACCTACTCGACATACGACCACCCGGACATATGACCGCTTCAGTCGTACCAAAATTTTTTCAAATTACGTAGGTATTTTCCAGTACTGAAACGTTTCCGTCCCGTACGAGAGCGTGGAGTGGGCTGAGCCGCCTCGTAGTGTACAGCGTCCACGCCATAGCGCGCTCATTTGGTGTTTGGCCGTCATTGTTGTCGGTAGTGATCGCGCTGTGTATTGACAATATTTTCGGTTCTAATTCCCTTTAAAATGACTGGCAAGCATAAAAGTGAGAGTTCTGGTGGTGCTCAGAAGAAAAAAATGGCAGAGGCATTTGCTACTATTAATAAGGGGATGTAAATGTTTGACGAAATGGATCAAAATGTTGAGCGTTTTGCAAAAGTTGACAGAATGATCCAAGATGCACTTGCTTGCTGCAGGGAGATTTACAATGAAAAGAAAAGGCAAACTGTGCAGTCTAAGTTGGACATATATTTTAACAAGTCCCCCACTGCTGTCTCCTCACGCCCCACCACTGCTGCCTCTTCACTCCCTAAAGATGATCCAATACCTTTAACAAGCAAGTATGTTAGCCTGTCTGAAGAAAGCAACATTGATGACCCACCCAGTCCTGTCTCCTCCTCTGCTTCATCCAATTAATGTAGTCTCCATGTTTAATTAAAAAATTATTGGGGCCCCGTGTGCATTCAGCTGACTACATTAAAAGTAAGTGCACAGTAGCACTGTATTTATTCTTCATTATTGATTACTTTTACTGTACTGTATTTCATTTTAGATTTTCTATGTATTATTTTTTGCATTTTCGACTTACGACCTGGATTTGGGTCCCTAACCCTGTCGTAAATCAGGAACTGCCTGTATTTTACATGTACAGTTTATCCATACCACCTTAGCAAACCCTGGTCATCTCTAAGTCTGACACCTGTTTCACTTCAACATTTCTTCTTTAGAGATATATTTTGTAAATAAGAAATAAAGTATAAAACATATGTAACAGTACAGTACTATAACCTATATTATATTATGATATTAAATGTACTGTGACGACAGGAGAAAAGTTTGCAGTTTTAGTGCTCATAAGAAATATTTCCAATCTCTGGATTAAACACACCAAGGCAAGGGGTTGGTGCTCAGTTATCTGCACAAGGCTAACATCAAAGAGGAATCAAGTAAACAAGCTAACAGAAAGGCAGACACAAGATGGCATGAGTCACTTACTCGATCTTTCCCGGTGAATTCAGAGTGTCATACCAGAAGAGCAGCTCCACATCAAATGCTCCTGGTGACATGGGTGCATGTAGCCACAGCTTAGCTTTTATAACATCACCTGGATTTAATACACCATTTGGAAGTGCTAAGGTTTCAGTCCGACTAGTAATCTTGCCATCTTTAGTCTCAGAGTCAGACAGAACACATATATGCACACCAGGCAATGGAGCTTCCTGTATGTCCAAATATACATGGTTAGGGTCAGACACAGCTAGCTTAAGCTTACTTACTGGACATGGCCCAATGTTTGTTATCATAACATCTGTACTACACAGCTCACCACAGCTTAAAATCTGAGGTATATCATGAAATATTACACTTAACCTTGACATAGGTGGCATAACAGTAATTTCTAATCTTTTATCATTTGCATAGACGACACTGCACTTCTCTACAGACGTAGTGTTTAGTCGTGGTCCCTTAACTTCAATGTTCTGCTGACCTTCAATAATTACAGGGGTTGTTGTAGACCCAGGAGGAACTCCTGAGGTCATGTCAGGTGTAAGGCAAAGTTTATATATAACTCCCTTTATCAATAGTTTACCTGTACACTGGGGATGCAATTCTAATCTAACCTTTTCCTGAGCACCAGCTGGAAGATTGCATCCAGGATATATAGTGTCTTGAACAGGAGCACCAACTATTTCTTGATTACTAGATGGCTCAAATGTAAAAACTAATCGAACATCACTAATCATTAGACTCACTGCGAGAGGATTTTTCATAAGAACTTCAACTACTACTGGTTCATTCACTGGAACAACTGGGCTTTGTGTGTTTGGAGTGTCACTAGTGAGCAGCTGCAAGTTTGGCCGGAATACCATTGATGAACACCTTTTCACAAACAGTTCTCGCTCAAGAGCAAACCATCGGTCCTTACTAATCTCATCACTATCTAATGATACATGAGATGCTGCTGTCCATTCACAATTTGTTGGGGGATCCTGAGGAGCTCCTAATAAGACTCTAGTTTCCTGTGAGTCAATTAATGGAAGTGGAAGACAAGGGACACCAGTTGATGAATCCCATTCCTGCTGAATGTATTGATGGAAAGTATTGAAGAACTCCCTCACATAAGTCATCTGTTGGGCTGGGGATTGCTGACTTGAAGCATTCTCTTTTTGTCTTTGGTCAACCAGATAGTTGTAGGCTTCCAAGCCTTCTGTGAGCTGCTTAAGATGGTGAGCTTGCTTTCCTAAGGTAAAATGTATGTGGTCTTCTGCAAGAACCCATCCTCTTGTTGCATAAACCTGTGGAGAGATGCAAATACTGTATTACTGTTTTTTAACATGAGCATGTACCACATAGGAACAATTAGATATAGTAAACAAGTTTATTTATACATTAACTAAAATTATTACAGGTATGGAACCTTTAATCCAGCATGCTTGGGACCTGGGGGTTGCCAGATAGTTTTTTTCCATAATTTGAAGCATCAGGCCTTATAAGTACAAAATGTACAATGAACTCTCTGTAACTGGCTGTGAAGCCTCTGTTCAGATCACCGGATTCACCCCTAAAAGTAAATTTACACTACACTATAACATTAAAATTTAAAATTGTAAGCATATAACAACAAAAACAATAGCATATACCCTGTACAGTAAATAGTACAAGCAGTCCCTAGGTTACGAACGAGTTCCATTCCTGGGGACGTTCTTATGTAAAAAATGTACATAAGTCAAAACACATACCCTATGTGCATACCGTACTTACAGAACAATGTTTAAAATCCCACTATATCATAGCCTAAGTCCTTATATACATTTAAAATCACTTATTTTAAGAGAAAAGAAGAATTAGAATGATAAAATACAGTAAATGAATGTAAAAAATAAGTCATCAGATAAATAAAATACTGTAAATTTAAAGTTTAACCTCATTCATATCAGAGGATGTTAGTAAGTCAGACGTTTGTAAACCGGGACTGCCTGTACAGTAATACTGAAAGCATAAAAGGCGCAAAAAATAACACAAGTTAGTGTACACACTGCATTGCAGTCATCCGGTGCAATTACAAGTTGAAAAATAACCATAACATGCAGCTCACAAGTGGGGAATGGTTGGAAATATCCCAGCTTGGCCCATGAATTACATGGTGCTCATTTTAAATAATTTGTTCTAGAACAGAGCCGGTTTTTGGAGCGTTCCAAATATTGGGATGCCGGATAAACGGTCCCATACCTGTATATACCGTACTTTTAACAAGCCAGTGATTTCTTTAAGGAAAACTATTTCATTTCTAAAAGTTAGGTATAGAATGAAATCTTTAATTTTTCTGCACTGGGTAAACCTCACTAACTTTGAAACTTTTTTACAAATGAAAACTTCAATGGTCAATTCTGGAAAGACCTAAGCTGCATTGGTAGATTCATGTTTTCACCTTAAAACAGACAAGTTTCAATCAAAAGACTCACAGCATAAAGATTATTACAATGTATATGATTAATACCGTACAGCTTTGCATATGACTTTAACTTGTATCTCATAATAAACTGGAACTTTTATTTGGTTACAAGCAACATTTAAATTAATTCTAAAGAAAATTAATAACTCTATCTAGAGGTCCATTTATAAATGCATCATGGAACAGATGTAACATTCGTTCAAAATATTTCAACTACCAGCCATCTCCAAATTATTTCAAGTGCAAAAAATTCAAACAAAGCTTGAAATGCTTGTTGGTTATCATCACACAGGTGATATAGTGTTTTAAAATGTGAAGAAAGATTATTTCAGTAAGTGTGCATGAGCAAGAAAACAGCAAGAAGGAAGTAGGACATATACAAGTTTGGGAATCATTAAAAAAAAAAGGAAAAGCAGCATTCAGTGAAAAGGCAATGTTACAAAAACCTTTAAGTGGAAAAAGGTAACCAATTTTACTTCTTCCCCGGGAATGCTCAACCTAGCAGAAACAGGAGAAGGGAGGTCATCGGAAACATACTAACATAATAACTTACCTGAAAGGCTTGTTTATATGCACGCAATGAATGTGATCGCTGACCAGCTTTGCTAAACCTGTGTCCAGCTAAAGTCATGTGAAAAGCATATTTTCTTGGTAACGGTCTTTGTGAATTTATGAAACAGTGAGCTGCCTGTTCCAACATAAGGGCTGACAGCAGGTCACTCTCCTCTGATGTAAGCTTGATGAACATCATTGCAGCTTCTCCATATTCTCCACAATGTTTCAGAACCTCTGAACTAAGCAATGTAGATCGTATGGCAAAGTTATAAACCTGAAGAAAAAATGCATGTATTATTTCCTTCCTTAGTGTTACCTTTTTACTCTTAAGTCATGCTATTTTTTAAGATTAATAAAACCACAAATCTTCAATCAGTTCTATGCTACACACAATTAAGCATGATGCTGCACAAGCTCAAAATTTTACAAATTTACAGTATCAGAATCTTGCTAAGTGGATGAGAGAAAGAGTTTGGAGAAAACAGCAAGTAATTGTTGATGATGGTAAACAAATGTGAAGTGGTGGTTTCATAGAATCATTCCAGTGCATTTGTGACCTTAAACTCATGTTTATGTGTGCTTCTTTATCAATAAGTATATACAGTAATCCCTGACAACTGCATAGGTTATGTTCTAGAGTTTTCAAGCGGTTGGCAAAATCATGGTTGGCAAGGGCTGAGACTAATGGGAAAACATGTACAAATCAAGGTTAAAAATAACTGCAGTGTACTGTATATATTATGCTTAAAAAACACATTTATTATACTGTATCAAATTACCAACAGTACACTGTACACTCTGCACAACTCCATAAGATGATTCACAAAATAATTATACACCTGGAGAGTTATAGATGCACTGTGAGCAGTTCAAGCACTGAACTCAGACTGGCCAATGCTACACCCCAAATTGGCAAGTTAAAATTACCACATTAAGACAGGTCAGGTCATATCTCCAAATTTAATATGTAAAAAAATAGTAAAAATTAAAATGGTACTGTATGATGGTTGCTAAGATTCACTGGCAATGGGGGGCAACTGTTCATGGGGGTAACTGTTGAGGGGCAGTTGTACACGGGGCAATTGTCCAGATACACTGTGATTGACAAGGATTACTGTATGTGCCCATAGGACCTGCATTTGCATGCGGCAATTTGTGGGTGTATATCCATAAGCCATGGCATGAATTTGGATCAGGTGATGCACATGTGTATGATCATATGACTTTTAACAGTTAAACAAATGTTAAGCTTACCTTGCACACATTGAGGTAAGTCTGCAAACTGTTTTCTAGATAACGCTTGGGATAATCTGAGCTGTTTTGCATAAAAGCAGCAAGTGCAGCCATCTCCTGTGCACCAGCAAAATACAACCACGCCTGATCACTTTTGAAATCATTCTTGGCTGTGTGATAAAAACTATATGCTAGTTCATAAAGGCCAAACATGAAACATAAATCTCCAAGCCTTCTTGTCTGAAGTTCAGTGGCTTCAGGACTGTAGATGACAGAGTTGGTGGCACTGCCTGGGCTCTTATTCCCAACTAGCCAGCGCCGTGTGGCACTTAGAAGGGATTTAGACCGTGATCTATTTGTCACTACGTCATTCAAATGCCTTATTTGCCTCTCAACATGAGGAATCAAAGATCTCACACAAAATTCATGAACAAATATACGTATACGGTCAACATCAGAAGATGTTAAACAACCGCCATGGTGCTGAGCTGTACCAGCTGGTAAACTTGGTCTGTTCACCATCACAGGTACATCAGCTGATATCTCAACTCCTGGCATCATATCAACATTTCCATTTTTCTCATCAATTGAAAGTACTGTAGGAGACAGAGGATGTATTGGTTCACAGCAATCAGCAGTATCGCCTTCAGTCACTCGAGATGGGAGACCACTCACATCCTCACGTGGTGTTCCTGTTCCACTGCTAGCTTCTGAACTACTACCCCCACTGCTGTAAATTAAAAATAATATGTAACTATCTTTATTGCGCCAATGATTCATCCAACAAAGAACAATACACATAATGGAGGTGCAACTGGGTCTCCAAGATTTTACCTAATGTGTACAACTAAAATATAACAAACATGTATAAACTCTATATTGTACAAAGTACCAAGCTTGAAACTCTAAATTCAAAATTAACAGTATATATTCCTAAGTTGCCAGGCACAGAAATTACCATGGAAAATAAGCTTTTATAGTGTTTTTCATTGTGTTTCATTTGAACTTACTTTCTATTGACAATATGTAGTTATCAAGATATGAGCCTTCCTCCCCAATTACCAGCATTGTGGGGTAAAAACACACAAAAATAAATCTCAAATATCAGTGCAGTGAACCCACGAAGATTCAGACCGGTAAATCCGGATTTTGGAAGATTCAGCAAAATTTGGGGGTTTCACGGACTAAAAATCCTCCCTAAGAAGCATTCCCAAAACAGAGCAAAAATCATCTTAGGCCCATGAAACAATGTTTCTTTATTATGTTATTGTAGGTAAATGCATGGTTTATATAATTTGTTTCTCAATGTGACCCTCACCGTTTTCAAATCAGACTACAAGACATGTGTTTCTCCCATATGTATTTTGATACGCCTGGCAACAGGAGCGAGTAAGGGAGTGAGTGACCGCTAGTTAACGCATCATCTGTTGTTGTAACTCTCCTCGCTCCCTGCCATATTTCACTAGATTTACTCTTATTATTAGTGTTTACTCATAAATGTGCTTAATAGTAAATAATCATGGCATTGTGTAGCCAGGTTAGACTCATCACTGTAACCACCAGACTACTGGGTAGATATATGTAACCTTTTTCATTTATTTTTACTCAGTTACATGCCCACACCATCCTACATGCATATTGTGAAAAAAGAAAAAGAAATAATGTCCTAAGGGGAAACACCTAATGGGAATATACATTTCTTTGCACACGAGTTTGCTGGCTGAGTGAGGGAGCAGGGCGCAGAGTGTCCGGGGTGGGGAGCGTTGTTAAGGAATCGGCGGAGGTAGCGTCCCAGCAGGTCTCCATTGCTTTTATAAAGCAGGGAGTGTATGCAAATAGTGACAGTGTTAAACTTCCATTTGGCTTTTATTTACTGGTTGTCAATACATTTTTTTGTTGTAACTTGTTTATTGGTATCATTTTTATTTATTCCTCTCATTTACTAGTACTATATAAAGGTGGTCCTTCTTTTCTGCGGTTAACTGGGACCGGAAAAACGCCTCTGATAACGAATCCACTTAAAAGCGAGGAATTAATCCCATAAGAAATAATGGAAATAAGTCAAATTGGGACCAATGCATTGTACACGACACTCAAAATAAATTTATATGATATCTTTTAACAATTATTTACCTTAGAAACGTTTGTTAAACATTTAATAAGACATTATTATAAGAAATTATTTAACTTTATAAGTTATCTAACGTCATTAAAGTTCAATGGGGACGGTGTGTTGAGGCAACATAGTTTGTGCCAGCAACCCGGTGGTCTGCAGCAACCGTTGCTGGTGCACACTCACTCCAGTGGTTCATTGAGACAAAATACTTATTATAATGTTTTAAAAATAAATAATTTTAACATAATAAAACATTTTTATTTACTTAGCTTCAAAGATAGATATGTTTGGCTTGATTGGATTGATTGAGGTGGGTGTTGGGGGATGGAGGATTAGTTGGATGAAAAAGAAACAGGACTAAGTGGATTGTCCATTCCCACTCTCTTTTGACTAATCATTTCTAATTTTAAATCTATACTATAGCTAGTGTGCTTCCTTTTGAGTACTGCACCACATTGTTTGGGTTGGGAACTCATGGCTATAGAAGTTATAAAATAATTCACCACAACATGCACGAAAAGACAACAAACGTAGGAGTAAACACAGCACAGCACTGCTCTCAACATAACAAAGCAGGAGACTGGCGCGGGGACAAGTTTGTGCATGCATGACGCTGGAAAGTGGATGAAATTTCAAACACTTTAGTTAAAATTCCGGACAGTTTATCGGGAGTTTTAACCCGTACAGCATCAACGGCGTGACAGTTACGCCACAATGTTTCTGTACTCCCAGCGTCAATGGCGTAACAGTTACGCCGATATACTTTCGAGATAAATGTACTGTAAAATCTATACTTATAATGCAAAAGTGAATCCAAATAAAAATTAATAATTACAGTATTAGATCATACAAAAAAAATACGTATTGGTGAAAATTATTATGAAAATGAATGTAAATAATACGAAAAAGGATAAATATATTGATGTTCCGAAATCGAGATAGACGATTAATAAAGAAAAGATAGCTACAGACAGTGAAAACTTATGGTAATTAACATAATTCCACTCTCACTCGATGAAAAACGTCAACACCCGTAAAACTCTACGGGTTCTACACGTAAACTTTCAACGCCGCGACACGTTCACCCATGGGTATAACTACACCTTCCATGGTCCGGTGAGTTGTTAAATGATGTTTTTCCTTCATTATATGAAAGCATAAGTCCATTTCAGCCAAAATCCAAAAGTAAAAAATTGACGAAACCAGCCGAATATAATTATATTAACTTAGCTGTCGCCGTACGGGTTAAATCCGTAATTTTATCCAGGGTAGTAGGCAGCTACCAAACAAGGAGGTACTACCGTCTGGGGAAGACATTGGAAACATAATGTGTTGTCTAATGATAGACCCTGCTGCCTTTTGGCATCACGAAAATTGTGACCAAATCCTAAGTTGCTGATCTGTCATTCTGCCTCATTTACACTCAATTGCAGGGTCTCAATTGTTTCTCTTACTTTGACAACACAACATACATATATCATTTCTCACTTTTTTTCTTTATAGTTCTTTATCATTATTATTATTACAGTATTACAGTGTTATTATTATTATTATTTTATTTTACTTTTTATTATAAATTTTATTTACTGTGAATAATTATTACATTTTTGCCTCCCAGGCCACGATGTGGGTCAGTGAACTGTGCCCAGGTGGGCTAATCCCCATTAAAAAAAATATATTACAAAATAAATATAAATAAATTAAATGCAGGGACTTTTTATGTGGGTGGTCATAAAAAATTTACCATTTAACTGCGAAACCACAGATAGTGGAATACTCTTATAATGAGAACCTCCTGTACGTATAATATTTTAAGAAAACTACAGCTACAGGAGGAAAATACACACAAAAGTTCTGTCTGACTCTGAGACTAAAGGTAGCAAGATTACTAGTCGGACTGAAACTTTAGCACTTCCAAATGGTGTATTAACTCCAGGTGATGTTATAAAAGCTAAGCTGTGGCTACGTGCACCCATGTCACCAGGAGCAGGAAGGGGGGATATTATCTTATATGCTGTAAAATATGGTACTGTGTTTTTGGTGTTTTTTTTAATGTAATTTTTTATCAGGTTTTTTACATTTAGTACATTTGACGGAAGATACGGCTTTGTCAGACAGGTGATTCCCCCTTTTAGTCCGGATCTTCGAGAGTTCACTGTATACATGTCTAATTTAACTAGAGAAACCAGTAAAACCTAACCTTACCTACTACCCAGGAGGACAGAGCCCCAATGGACCCCATGGTGTGTAAACCAATCCTAGCCTACCTATAGCTACTTAACCAAACCTTTCTTTAACAGATGGAGGAGGATCTTGATGATACAGCAGTCTGAATTACACCTTGGACACTTTGCTAAACCAAAGAAGAACACCACGAGACCAAAAGATTCGTTCTCAAATACTCGTTGAGTTACATTCCAATCTCCCAACGAGCAACCTTTACAGAGACACACTATCTTGCAACAACACAATTCAAATTCCACAGTTTGCACATGCTTGTGAGTATCACATGACATCGACACTTATGCTGATTGGCTGAGTAAGAAGTAAACAATGTACTGTATACTGCTGAGAACCTGTATTCTCTATAAGTGAAATAGGAAAGTCCAAATAAAGTACAGGTAACTCAAAAACTATAAATTTCCAACGGAAGCACTATAGAGTAAAGCATTCTTTCTTTTTTGCTCTACCTCCCTATATAAGATTGAATATAGAGTTCCATGCATGACAACTAAGGAATAGTAACCAACTTGACTACTGAATTACAATGCTGCTTGGTGCACCAGTGTCTAAGCAGGTTGACACAATAATAGAATACAGTAGGTAATAAAAAGTTTGTAAATATAAATTTCTAATCACAAGTATTATACAGTACTTACGGCTCACATGAAGCTCTTTGAATCAGGAACTGACTCCAGGGGTCTGGTAGATGAACATCAGTCTGATCACTGTGGCGAGAGTTGATCTGTAACAAGTGACAGTTGCTGCTTCCATACATGCTAGTCATCTGTTCAAACACTTGTTCTGATCTGAAAAATTGAAGAAGCATCCTTTGAGTTTACTAGAGAAGTAAAATGCAACCAACATACTATCTGATTAAATATATTATCCTTGCAAAATATTCATCACTTGATGACAAAATTTAGGTCGAGCTACTTTTAGGTATCATCTCATTTTCCCTCATTAATGAACTGAGATCATTTACCTACAAAATATTAAACTTCTCTACTATGACATGAATTATACGGTACTAGCTGAGTTACCTGGCTTCACCTAGGCTATTAATGAAACAAAATCCCAGCTGTGGGCTCTAACCAAAAATGTGGTAGTAGTGAGTGATGTGGGTTGGCCCATGAGGGACAGAAGATAGTGCATGACCATCCCGTATGCCACCAACACTCTACTTCAAAACTTTGGAAACTGCTGACCCACAAGTGGTAGGCTATATTGAACCCACCCCCGGGAGGGAAGGAAATAGTGTACAACCATCCCCGAGGTTACTTGCACTTCCTTACCAAATTTCAGCTTTCTATCACCAGAACTGCAGAAATACATAAGGACATACAAAGACAGACAGAATGTGTCTTACAATAACAAGTCCCTTTAATTACTCGATATGATATTCTAACTTCACTAACTTTGTAAGGTCTCCAGCTGTGATATCATGAATGAGAAGATAAAACTTGAGGATGTTTGGAGAAAACCACTTAGGGAAGCGTGCTGGTGTCTGGTGTAACTGCTGGTGCTGATACTGGGACAGTCTGTTTAGTTGGTCCATTGGATTTTCACTCGTTGATGCTACTGCCTGTGAATGTGACAGATAGAAATAAACACAGTACTGTATAAAAATATATAAGTGAAAGTTATAAACTTATGATTAAAAATAAGGATACCTTGAGACAGAATATCTTAAAATCTGTACAGTATACATACTTAACAGTCAAACAAAACCAGCTGATTTAAAATAATTCAGTATACATTTAAAACAAGGATGAAACATACTCACCACGATGCATGCAATGTAATGCTTGGTAAATTCATGATCTGACGGATATTGAACATGAAGAAATGTATCGCGCCAAGCCTCAAACCAAGGCGTTGTTGGCTGTAATTCAAGTTCCAAGGCTTCACGCGTTCCAGAAGCACCCACTGCCCTGAATGGAAAAATTATACCAATTATATTTCATAGTACAGGTGCTCCTATACTTACGAACAAGTTACGTTCCTGAGGCTTGTTTGTAAGTCCAACTTTACTCTTGTAGATACCACACATATTGTAAAAAAATGAAAAATTATGGATACCGGTATTTAGTACCTGTACAGCTATACCCTTTAATACAGCCTTAAAACCTGGCTCACTCTTCTCCTCTTAGGTAATGTTTGTTCTATCTGGAATTTTCTTCAAAATAATCCAGTCTCATCCACATTAAACACCAGTTCTGGCAGGTAACCCCCTTCAGTGCTGATGTTTGTATCTCTGAAAGTTTGTAAGTTGAACGTTCTTAAGTAGAGGAGCACCTGTACAGTACTGTACAATACATTGTCATTTGCTCCCTTTTTGCTGTAGAAAAAAATACATTTTAAATTCAAAACCCTTAAATCCAAATTTGGCTTCAAGTCAGACTGCATGGAGAATTTCAGCCTTAAATTAGCCTTGTGTTGCTATCATGGAGACCTTTCTCAGAAAATAACAGTAAAAGTACTGCAAGTTACTTGATTACCACTGACTGTGATTCCAGAAACTGGTATAGTACACATCACACTCATAAAGTTTGAAACCTGTAATTGCTTTCACAATTAAATTTGTTTAAATGTAATTTAAATTTTTTCACAATTTAATGATTTTTGTTAATACAGTACAGTACCTGTAAAGTATATTATAAACAGGTAAAGAAAATGGACCTTACATTGCATCCTCTTTTAGTTCACACATTTATACACCAAATAGAGATTATATAAGTGATCATATTCTGTATACCTGTACCATATACAGTACAGTATAGCCTACAAAGTAAAACCTCATTAGTGAATCCATCACTATAATGAATGTCTACTAATGTTGTCCATTAATGAAAACAGTCAAGTATAAAATCTGCTAGCTTTTTTCCATTAATAAATTTTCTACATGGTCCAGCATACACCTGATTACATTTATCAAATATTGCTGTCTAATAATGGAAACCATCAAAAGTTAAATAAGGATACTGTATTACAGTACCTGGTGGTTGGTCTGTCCCATGGTGCTGTGCTTACAACCTCACTCAATAGTTTTTTGCCAAGAGTGGGTTGGGGAGGTCGCCGATTCATGTCTTCAAAAACCACACGAAGATTCCGAATTGGCACAGTGTTGCCAGATGGATCAGCAATACGTACTGCGGTAGAAAAAGAGATATCTCTGTAGAAGTACTGTAGTCACACTAAGTAATCATTTTGTAAATTCAATCTAAAACCTTAAATATTAGGGTGCTTATAATTCAGATGTAACTTTCCTCACCTAAAGCCAATTAAATTTGATGTTTAATCTAAAGTCAAAAGTCTTTTTTAACTTATGAGCATTTCCCAAATTGCAAGCAATGTCTGAAATCAATTGCAACTCACTCTCCTATCATTCACTATCATTCTTTCTCTCAAACAAAATTATTTTCTTTTTGGCTACAACATAAACTTGTAACTTTGAACCTGTGATTTTTCTTCTCCACAACTCTATCAAATAGTTAATCCAATATTCTGTAATCATTTATACTTTTCATTTTGTATTATCTACTATCTTCAAGAATAAACAGCCTGCGAACATTTAAATTGGAGAACTGTGGTCAACAACCCTCAGATAAGAGGACAGTACTTTGGTTGATCGCTAAAGAGCTCTAAAAAAAATAAGGTTCGATCAGGCGGTTAGTTCTCTGGTATAGTCTCCCCCAAAAGTTCATTAACTCTCCCAGCCAGCTATTGCTGCACTGCCTGCTTCAGATGTTTGAAACTGTCTCAGTACCAACCAGAACATGAAACCGACACGAATGAATCTAAAGGTTCGAAGTAACAGACTCAAGTTCATACATCTGAAGTAGGCAGTGAAGCACTAGCTGGCTGGGAGAGTTAACGAACTTTTGGGTGAGACTGTACAGTACTGTACATTATTTCCCCACTAAGGTCATTAAACTATGGCTACAGTATAATGAAGCAGTAAAAGTACTATTGTACAGCATGCCCTGACAATTCACGGATTTTTAATTTGCGGACCTCTATTACTGTATTCGCGGATGACATCTTGGAAGTACCCAAGAATGTCTAAGGGTAGTTTTAAAGTTGCTGGCATTTCCACGGCCGGGACAGGGAGCCATTCATTCTAGAGACACACAAGGCACATACAAATAAATAATAATGGGAAAATCCTCTCAAATAATCAGAAACTCGACAACAAAACGTATTAAATATGTGATTCTACCCTCAAGTCAAGTCTGGGCTTTGTTATTAAAGTTAACTTTTGACCTGATGTGTACGCACAGTATTTAGTAGACTGAGAGGTAGCAGTGGTGGCAGGACACTGATTGAGCGGATGTAAACAAACCCCACTCTCCAGGTGGCGCATTTGGCGCGAAATTTAACTGAGTCATGGTCAATTTAGTGAACTGCAGCAATCCCGTGTTTTTTGCAGTTTTTTTATCGCGGTTTTGACCATTCGGCATGGGTACGAGTTAACTTTTTTTAGTACGATTTATCTTTGGCAGGAGTTGTCTTGGGTACGAGATGACCCTAACCCCAGCTACAGAACCATAGATAGAGGAGGTTTGGCCAACTGGGCGCCATGTTGCAATTTTATCTTGCGCTAGTCAGGCCACACCTCGATTATGCTGTTCAGTTCTGGTGCCCTTATTATAGAATGGATAGCAATTCACTGGAGTCAGTGCAGCGAAGAATGACGAAAATGATTCCGGGACTTAGAAACCTTCCATATCAAGATAGAATAAAGAAACTAAACTTGCATTCCCTAGAAAGACGAAGAGTGTGGGGAGATATGATAGACATATTTAAGTGGGTGAAAGGAATCAATAAAGGAAATATCGATAAAGTTCTTATAATATCAGAGCAGGATAGGACTCGTAGCAACGGAATTAAGTTGGATAAGTTTAGGTTTATGAGGGAGATAGGAAGAAACTGGTTCACAAATAGGGTGGTAGTCGAGTGGAACAAGCTTAGCAACTTTGTAGTAAGTGCTGGAACGCTGGAAAGTTTTAAAAGGAGGCTAAATAGATTCATGGACGATAGAGAGTGGTTGTAACTCTTGACAGGAACTGCCATGCACAGGCCAACCGGCCTATTGCAGACTCCTTATTTTCTTATGTTCCTATATCCTTATGTTGTTACTGAGCTGTAAAATTTACGCTGACTGTCGAAGATGATGATGATGTTTATCCAGTAAAATTATCATACATGTTTACAATTGGATAAGCATGTTTATAAACTATGTGGGAGAGAACATGAGAAAACTTCTCACCCGCTGAGTAACAACATGGCTTCTGGTTGGCTGAACTCTATCTATCGGGTGCTGGACAACTTGTACCCAAGCAAATCGTACCCATCAGAACATGTTAACTCGTACCCAATTTAAAGAGACAGTATATATATATATATATATATATATATATATATATATATATATATATATATATATATATATATATATATATATATATCATGTAGATCCACAATGGAATGTGGACACGGTTGATTTCAATACTATATGAATAGCAATGCGTTTAAAAAAAGTGTTATTTGACCTTAATTTCAACAAATTAAGAGCAAATATGTCTGCTCTCTCTCTCTAAATAGGAAGAGCGTGAATATTGGGTGACACAAATCGTTACTTTTTATGCATGTCTATATTTTGTTGACTTATGACCATTTTAATCGTTTACATCGCCCAGTTTATAAAATGAAACTGCCAAATCTATTAGCCTGAAATCTGTAAAATTGCAATAAAGTTATTCTAAACCACATAGTGTGAAATAAGTACTTGTTGTGCAATGTTTGTGACAGATAACATACTTATGTAATGAGATGTAACCATTATAAAGCCTGCATTACTTTTCCCTATTTCACTGCACTTTCCTACAAGATTTACATAATCTTTTTTTTGTAATCATAGATAAAGCTAAAATGCATGGTATATATACTAATAGGTAGGGATTATCTCTTGAATTGGGTGTAAGTAATCTTGGGTACGAGTTATCTTGGGTATATTGTCATGGGTACAATATGACCCTAACCCCTATCTATCTACAGCCCTGCCCCTCTTGAAAGTTAGGTAATAGGTAAATTTATGATAGCAGCAAGGTTTTGATTTTTCCATAAAAAATACATTTTTCCTATGGTTCTTGTTGTTATTCAAACAAACATGACCTTTGTTTCTGGTGCTAACCGACCTAACCTAACCTAACCTAACCTAACCTAACCGAAACCTGGCTACTATCCTAAATTGACCAGGTAAGATTAGGTAAGTTTCTTTGGCTAGATCATGTTCTATTAGGTTTTGTGCAGTGTTGTATCAGCTTTATAACTTACTATCATCCAAAGAACATGAGAAAAAAAATAACAAAATCTAACTACTTTTGGTGTTAGCCATCTGCTCAACCTTTACACAGAACCTAAATTACAGGATCACTAATGATTTTACTAAATATAGACACAGGAATTCCAACAGCTGACAAGTCATTATAAAGCTACATATCCTCATTACATACAGTATATATCACAGAAAAAAAATTCCTATACAACTATATGCTAAATATATATATATACTTACTCTCATTATTTAGCCTACAGAACGGTTGTATTAACTCCACAAATCTCAAATTATTCTTCAGGCAAAGATTATCTGCATCCTCACTACACAGTATAGCCACTTGTGGTGCAAAAGCATTTTGAAGATACTCGTGAGGAGTTAGTTTGCACTGAGCCATTATCAGGGCTATTAGTAGAGATCATTTGTTACAAAAGAGCAGCCGTCTGAAAACAGTATTACTTTAAAACATGTCACTGGGAGGCTGAACATCAACCCTTGTAAACAGATGATCTTGTGTCATGGCGAATATAGAAACAAGTGATCATCGTCCACCCTGTTTCACCTCCCGGCCCTTACCACTATCAAACATTTATATATATACTGTTATAAAGGTACATCATTAATAACTTAATTGATACTATTATTGTATTAATATCATGAATTCTTTAAAATATTGTACTGAATTGCAAATATTAAGTGAACCCAGGGTATTTATTTAGACTTGAAAATCAGCAGGGAGGCCGTTTTGGAATCCCCTGCACAGATAATTTATACATTAATTTATAAACTCATTTCACCAAAGATCCACAGCAATTAATGCACCTTATTTACCACAATTCAGTGTTTGCCACAATACTCAAACATTTTGCTTGAAATTGACAGGTCAAGTGCGGGACAATCCTAACTTAATCCTTTTATTCCTAGATTGGGGGTCAGGTATACCCAGTGAGATGAGAGGACCAGCATTTGCCCAGCTTATACTGTTGGGTATGGGATGTTTGGTTCACACTCTGGATGGGATGGAGAAAGGAAACTCACAATGTGCTCTCTGTATACATGTTGTATTGGAAAAACAATGCAGCTTGGTGCTGGGAAGTGGCAGAGTGGTTACAAGCGTGATGTAGAGAGAGCTGGTTGGTGAGGGTGCTCAGAGGAAGACAGCTTGTGGGTCGCCATGCTCGCCGGCGGGAGCGAGGACCGCCAGGCAGGAGGAGGAGGAGGAGGAGGTGTTGCTTGCTGCGAGGCTGTAGGTAGAAGAAGGAGCAGGTCACAGCGAGGTGAGGTCTTATATAGCGGGGGTAGGCGTGGCTTGGCAGTTGACCTACGCTTTGTTAGGCGGCGATAGAGGCCGACCTTAGACTATGAGGCGTAGGCTGGGGAATTTGAAGAGGGGTCGGCTAGTCAGCAACAAACGGCAGTTGTAGTTGTAGGGGAGATAACCACTACAATACTTCCCCTTCCCTCCAGGACGTGCAGGAGACTTGTTGTCGGCAGGGTTGTATCCCACTTGTGAGACCTAACGGCGAGGGCGTGGATGAGCCGGCCGCTACGGAAGATAACTTTGTCTAGAGACACGAGATCTGTGGGAGAAGCAGAGGGTTGTGGAGGCGAGGAATGTGGTGCTTCTCTCGCGGCAGGTACACAGTCTTCAGTAGCGCCGGGTGGGGTGTCTGGGTCCATAGGGCCGGCTGCAGGGTCGTCAGGAGCAGTAGGTACCACGACAGCAGCAGGGTGCAGGACAGCAGCAGGGTTCAAGACGGCAGCAGGGTGGAGGACAGGAGCAGGGGGCACCTGGGGAAGAAAAGAGGGTGCCCAGAAATGTTGTGGGTGAGGTGGTGCTGCAAGGAGTAATGGTGGGCAGACTGGCTGAGGAGGTGCGGGATGAATGTGTTCAGGGCGGTTGGAAGGCTGGCGTGGAGCAGTAGCCTTGAATGCAGAAACCGCCTGACATAGTGTTTGTAGTAGGTTGTGACGGGCAGCAGGAGTGAGGTGGTCAAGGTCAGAAGTAAGGAGTGTGGTGGAGGTTATGGCGCCTACCCGTCTCAGTCGATGTCGCTTCGCCTTGTGGTTACAGGGAGCCTCACAGCGTCTCGCGTTAGCAGCAAAATGTTGATGGTACCAACAGGGGGTAGATACACTATGCTGGGGGCGGCGTCTGAGGCAGGACGGGTGTGTTGGGGTCGGTAGGACGTGGTTCTTGGGGCAGGAAGAGGAGCAGCTGCATGCTTGGAGGAGCAGAGGTGCTCTAGGGTGTCTAACCTGCGGTGTAGGGACTGTAGCTGTAAAGCCGATGAGCGCTGCCTCCGTGTGGATAAGCCAGTCTTCAATGTTGTGATTGAAGACTGGGAGAGTGATCAGTTTCTCCTCCATATAATTTTTTTATGGTGGGTAAAAAACAGTCCGAAAACGTGGAGGACTTTCGTCGGCAACCAGATAATTATGAGGACGGTACTCTGATTCAACACGGACGAATCCAGAGATATCAAAAGTGGGGGGGGGGGTGGTCAAAGAAGTTGTTACTTTTACTTTTATCCTCTTCGTCACTGATCGGCTTGTTAGCTGTTTTTTTTTTTGAGGGGGGGAGGTACAATACTTCAAGATTAAAGAAAAGTATTGAAATTTTTGGATGAAAGGCGGGGGTCCGGACCCCCAGGACCCTTCTCGATTCGCCCCTGCAATGATTGATTGATTGTAGTAATGTTTATAATAGTTTTAAGCAGTATCATTTGTAGTAGTTTTAGGCAATAGTAGTAGTGCTTGTAGTGTGGGGTTCATGATGCTTGGTTCACACTCAGGATGGGGTGGAGAAAGGAAACTCACAATGTGCTCTCTGGATACATGTTGTATTGGATGTACAATGCAACTTGGTGCTGGGAAGGCAGCATGGTTACAAGCGTGATGTAGAGAGAGCTGGTTGGTGAGGATGCTCAGAGGAGGACCAGCCTGTGGGTCGCCATGCTCGCCGGCGGGAGCGAGGACCGCCGGGCAGGCGGAGGAGGAGGAGGTGTTGCTGGCTGGTTGGTGTAGGCAGAAAGAGACAGGTCACCACGAGGTCAGGTCTTAAATAGCGGGGGGTAGGCGTGGCTTAGTAGTTGACCTCCGCTCCGTGGGCGGCGCTGGTTGACCTAGACCACGAGGCATACACTGGGGGTTTGGTGGGGTCGGCTACTCAGCGACAAACAGCGTTTGTAGGGGAGAAATCCACTACAGTAGTACTGTAGTTTGGTGCAGTGGTAGTTGTTATTACTAGCTTGATTTTAATTTAATATTAAATACTTCAAAATAGCTCTCGATATAGAAATAGGGAACCAGTTTAAGTATGAAGGAAATCAGTGATTTCTATTAATTTATAATTTCATCACTTAGCTTAGCTACTAGCACCCGTGGGTAGATTGTTATTACTAGTGTAATATAAGTTAATGGATATCAGATCATAACTTCTTATGACTAGATTACTGCGTAAAGATAAACTGTATTAATTTAAGCAGTTCAGTTTTCATATAAGCCAAATACAGGTAATCAGTGAAACTAGAGAAAAACAAATAATAAGTTACCATAATAGCTGAGTGAACCATGTATTATAGACAACACCTAAAGGTTTCAACACTACTAGAGGCTGTCGCTACACTTGTCAAGTTTGTTTGTGTCAGCAGCTGTAGGAGGCACAGGTCCATCCAGTACACTGTCACGTATGTACAGTGTATTACAATAGCTAAATGAAAATGTCATATTTTATTATTATTGTATTTGCACAGAAAGATCACATTTAGTGTCATAACAGCACTTTAATTAAACATAAAAATTAGCTTTTCGTAAAAATCTAGACGGTGAATGCAGGGTTCCGAATTATGATAATTGAATTTAATAAAAAATATATACGTATTACATCTACTATTATAATTGTACAATATTTTTAGTGACTTAAGCAAAACCCGAGACTTAAACTTAGATCATTTCATGGGTCCATAAGCCCTTCTGCTCATTGTATTACTGGATAATTATTGATGAGATCCCCTCCTCTGATATCATACAGTAAATTATATTAAAAACGCTGTAATTTCACTGTGTTGTAGTGGACACTGTCGTACTTTGGGCAAAAAAGTGGTTATTTCTAAATGAAACCTAAACAAGTGGCCAAAGTGTTGTGAGAAGACCTTGCCAACCTAACCTAACCTAACCTAACCTAACTTTCTTACTACCTAGGAGAGGACTCTACCCTTCAGACCCCCAGGCATATTAAACAGAAAGAACTTGTTGTAATATGGTGTAATTTTGTTTTGTTTTTTATGGACGTGAGACAAGCCGCCTGGACCGGTCCGACTAATTACCCAAATGTAGCCGCAATGAAGTCAAATGATGGTGTCATAAAGTCACAAAAAATTGGTAAACTTAATTTAATCTGAGTTGTGTTAGGTTAGGTTAGGTTAGGTTAGGTTAGGTTAGGTTAGGTTAGGTTAGGTTAGGTACATTCACTTGAACCATTAACTCAAATAAATTAAGTTTACCAATTTTTTGTGGCTTCGTGACACCAAATACTAGTCGAGAAGTGATTGGTAACCCGATTTATTCATGTAGGACCATTATTTGACTTCATTGCGGCTACATTTGGGTAATTAGTCGGACCCGCCTGGACCGAGCGGCTTATAAACAGACAATGAGCGCAGGGAAAAATCAGGCATCGATTTATCATTGGGAAAGACAAAGTAGTGCTGTTAATGCAAGCCTAGGGTCCTAAGTATCTAACAAATGAAGCATATGCCCAATAAATGAATATCATATCCGAACCGAGTGATGAAAATATAATAAGAAAGAAAACTCCATAACAAATGACATGGTGGTCTGTATCTAGTTAATATTAACCTATTACTGTTTATAGCGATCGTTACACTGTGAAACATATTCCCAGATAACCAACTGTCATAGAAAAATTGTTCTACTGTATGGAAGGTAACTCCTTTCTAACCTAAGTTTTTATTCCTAAGCTCCATCAACCTGAGGACACCATGGGTGTGCTTTAACTGCTGACAAGCATTTCCCTGAGACTGAGCAAATGCTAAGTGATTGAATTCTTCCCAGTGACCTTTCCTTGTCTAATTAATCTACCTAAGCTAATGTGCTTCCATTCTAGGGTAGATAAGTTAGGTAGCAGTTGCTGGAAGTGTTAGACTGGGTAGCATTAAAAATTTCCTGTCAATGAAATATTTAATACAAATAAAGTCAATAAGACATTGCTAGGAGGGGTAATGGTGGAGGTTCATTAGTGTTCAGGATGAGAAGGTTGCCTGAATTATATGAAAATTGCAACCCTCCGCCTGTTTTAGGATACACTGTTGCTAAGGTAAGAAAGACTATTTCAGTAGACAATTTGGTAAATTTTTACTTTAGGACACGAGTCCCTAGGGATTGACCAATATGTTTTTCCAGTGTATTTCGGTGTGTTGTAAGCGAATCTGACCTTTACTTTTGTCGGAAGTTGCTCGGTTTTTGCCCCAGCAATAATAGGGCAGAGCTTGGGAAATTGGAGTTTTTGGGTTGGGGAAGAAACGAAAACGAGACAAATACCTAACAAAACCTAACCTAACCCTTAGCAGGGGGCTCCACCCCTAGACCCTAATTGCAGGGTCTCAATTGTTTCTCTTACTATTGACAACACAACATACATACAGGGACATTGTTTTTCACTCTTGATTTTTTTTAATTTTTGCATTTCTTTATGGTTCTATATTATTATTATTATCATTATCATTATTATTATTATTATTATTATTATTATTATTATTATTATTATTACATTATCGCCCCCCAGGCCCCGATGTGGGTCAGTGACCTGTGCCCGGGTGGGCTAATCCCCGTAAAAAAGAAAAGAAAAATTAGGGGTTCGGGATTGACGGTTAATCCGAAAGTCGGTTAATCGAGGGCTGGTTACCTCGTAAATGCGAAATCGCGGAAAGTGAAACCGCGTAAAGCGGGGTATTACTGTATATATAAAATTTTTTAGTAAAAAAAAACACGAATGGTCAAAACCGCGATAAAAAAAACGCGAAAAACACAGGATTACTGTATTTACAATACAGGTTGACAACCCTTTATCCGAAATTCCAAAAACCGAAAGTTTTTTTTTGTTGGGCTCTCTCTCTCTCTTTTTTTTTTTTTATTTTTTTTTTTTTTTATACAGGGATTATTAGCCCACCCTGACACAGATCACTGACCTGCATCGGGGCTTGGGGGGCGAAAATGTAATAGTAATAATAATTATAATAATAATAATTATTCATAGTAAATAAAATTTTTAATAAGAATAAACCAAAATAAAATAACAATGATTACAACAATAATAATAATAATAATAATAATAAAAATAATAAAAAGAATAAAAATAAAATATAATAATAAAATTAATAATAATAATAATAACAATAATATTGTAATAATAAAATAATACAGTAAAAAATTACAAGAATGAAAAAAGATCAAAAGTGAGAAACACGACCTAGACCTATGAATTATTATTATTATTATAATTTTTATTATATTTTCGACCCCCAGGCCCCAATGTGGGTCAGTGATCTATGCCCGGGTGATCTAATACACATTAAAAAAAAGAAAAAAAAACATTCTGAAAACCGAAAAATTCCAAAAACCAAAATGCCTCTGGCCCCAAGGATTTTGGATAAGAGATTGTCAACCTGTACAGGTAAAGGAAATTACTGACTAGAATGAATGGTTCCCTGTCCCAGCTGTGAAAATGCTGGCAACTTTAAAACTACCCACAGACATTCTTGGGTACATCCAGGGTGTCATCTGCGAATAATAGAGGACAGCGAAAAAAATCTGCAGACTTGGGGGGGGGGGGCCTGTATTACAAAAAAATACCACAGATTGCCTTTGGATGAGACTTCAGCCTGAAATCAGTTAGGAATGATGACATGAACCAAACTAACGTGACCGAACTTAATGATCTTTTTAGTTTTCAATTCCCCTTGATCAGCTTAGGTTAGTTTGGTTCATGTCTTCCCTCTCTTTAGTGTCAAACATGACTTTCTGTTCTTGTAGAATGTCTTCACTGCATCAAACAGGTTCTCCCTAACCCCATACGTCTTCATATCCTCTCACAGCATCTGCATCTCTTGGTCAACTCATCATATACTGTACTGTATACTGAACCTACTCTAAATCCATAAATGCTGCTCACAGTTTCCCTTTTTTTAACACGCTATAGTATATCATTTTGGCAAGCACTTTTACTAGAAGTATTTGGTTCTTCAGCCATTCATCTGGTACTTTTGCTGTTTGCCATGCCATCTAACGCAATCTCAGTTGGATACATCAATATCCAGTACTGTACTGGTAGATACCGGGTAATTCTTCTCTACGTGTTTCAGTGTCCCTGCTCTATTTCCTTCTTTAGCTACTTCTAGTTTCACTCATCCCTTCTCCTGCCTCCAACTTCAAGTCTTTTTCCTTGTTTCCATCATTAGGTACTGTGCCATTTAATTTTTTAACATTTCCTCCCACCTCCTCGGTATCTTTTCTTCAGTTGCTGTTACTGTACTCCCTTCCCTGTCCCTTGTTTTATTTATATATTAATTACAGTACAGTACAGTGTTTTTCTTCTTTAATTATAATTATTGCTTACTTTTCTTCCCAGTTTCACACCATTTTCCTAACACATTTATTCTCTTATCTATATTCTTGTTTCTTCATCTATTGGAACATTTTTTGCAGATATATTTTCTCAGCTTATAACTTCCTTGCCATACTTTATATCTGTGTTGCATCTGTACAGTATCCCCTCTTCTTTTAGAGCCTTTTTTACTGAAATAATTTTTTTAGACTACATACTATATATACTGTATTTAAAAATTACATTTATGAATTGTCATATACTGTACCTGTATGTTATCATTAGGCAAATGCTTTGCGTTTACAGTCGTACTGTAGATCCTAATTCCTTTGGCAAATCATTTCCAGGACTAGATGTGTGTGTGTGTAATATTTGAAGATCCACCCAACAAACTTTGCATTTGAGTGTAAGAAACCAAGATTTTGAGGGGCTCAAAATGCTTTCAGCCTGGAACAGGTTAACAGGACGGGGAGCTGATGGCCCTGTTAATCCCACCTCACCCCCTGGGATGCAGGCCATGGCAGCATCTTTACAAAGGCGCTTTGCTCGTGGTGTTCAATACAATAGTAAGTCATGTATGTTTTAAAACTTTATGTACTGTACATATTACAATATTCATCTTCTATATACTGTATACAGTGGTCCCTCGGTTAACGAACACAATTCGTTCCAGAGGGTCGTTCGTTAACTGAATCCATTGTTTCAATGGGATATGGGGTAATTGGTTCCAGCCACAGAAAAGTACATACAAAGTAAAAAAAAAAAATGCAGTAAAGTACACTTACTTTGAGGTGTGTATGTAGAAGGTTCCTGGTTGATGATGATGATGGGAATTAGAAGCAGGGCTGGAGGAGAAGGGAGAAGAGAAGGAAGTGGGGATGGAGGAGAAATCACCTTTCAGGGGACCCATGCTTGATGCCGTCATTTCACCAATAAAATTTTAAGCTCACTAGGTGTAATTCAAGATTATTTTATTTAAATCAACACTGCACTGCGCTATATATTATCAATATGTTAACTAAATTTCAGAATGATCAATAATTTCAGTGAAAAATTAGAAAAATATTCAAGACGCCAACAAAATAGATGTTCACTCCACTGTCAACAAGGCCCAACTGACGCCTTGTGGCTGAGTCAAGCGTCTGATGGGCGCACAAAAAACTAGTTCCCTGTACTGCATATATTATCAATATGTTAAATACTACTGTAAATGTTAAAATGACTAATAATTTTAATATAAAAAATGCTAAAATATTAAAGAGCACAACTTTCTTGATATTTACTCCACTGGAAACGAATGTAAACATAGAACAGATTACTGAATTGGCAGACTAGCCCATCAGCTGATGCTCACAACAAAACGTGATGTTCGTAAGGTTTTCGTTAATCAAATTTTTGTTCGTTAATCGAATTGAAGATTCTTATGGAAGGTAATTCGTTAACCGAAATTTCATTAACCGAACCGTTCGTTAACCGAGGGACCACTGTACAGTACTGTACAGGTATCTTGATGCAGTACCGCCGGCAAAGCCGTGGGCTCGTAACACTCGTCTTGCCCGCGGTGCCTACCGTTTCTGTGTGGATGTCGGTCACACTAGAATAACCCGTTATAGTACATCCTTCTTTCCTCACACAGCCAAACTGTGGAATGCTCTGCCTTCTTCTGTGTTCCCACACTCATACAATCTGTCTCACTTCAAAAAGCTGGTTTTCCGGCATCTTCGTGGTGTAGATTAATATAATCTTTATCTTTTCAATATTAATTTCTTTTTACTCTTTATTTTTTCACCCCTAGGCCCCGTTGTGGGTCGATGACCTGTGCCCGGGTGGGCTATTCCCGTAAAAAAAAGGGGGGGGGTGGGGGGGGCTGGAAAATAGGAGGATGTTCTGGAACATCACCCGGTGCACGCTAGTCGGACGTTCTGGAACGTCACCTGGGGCCTAAGGGTGAAACATTAAATTTTTTTACAGTGCAGTAGGCCCTTAAAATTTGTGGGGGTTAGGAAGAATGTTGGTGATACAGCAGAGGGAAGTTGAGCACCTCATTTTTTATACGTAATTGTTTCTACATTCCGTATAAAGGACTTCATACAGGTACTTTATAATATTTTTATTATATACTGCCCTATAGATATTGATATGCATGATTTTGCTTCTTTGCAGTGAAAATAGTAATTAGAGGGGACCGAAATGTTGGGAAGACCTGTCTCTTTAAACGCCTTCAGGGCCAACCATTCCATGAAGAGTATACACCTACAGAAGAAATACAGGTTTGTCCATTACAGTTTGCTTGACTTTGTTAATACAGATATAATAATGATAACACCCTGTACAGTGTACAGTTGTAATAATATTTATTCAGAATATTCATCAAACAGTTTGTTAGACATGTACAGTACTGTAATATACACAAGCAGGTACAGTATACAGTTTAACATATTTATAGACAATGCAGGTATTGTACTAGTATATAACAATAGTAAGGCAATGGTAGCATGGGAGGGGACTTCCTCTCTTGTGTGGAGGAAGCCGGCCTTCTACACAAGCTTCGAGTTTTATTAAGGTTTAAATGTTTTTATAAAAGTTGTAAGTTATACATTACTTGTTTTTACCTTTCATTATTTGGTTTTAGTCTTTTAAGACTTTATTTTAATTCAGCGACATATGACCTAAGCTGCTGTGTCACCAGGGATGTAATTACCACACTCAATCGATCAATCAGTCAACCAAGGATATCTGACAAAATTTAGGGGTTTGGGTGGTTAAATGGTTAATACTGATCACATTTAAGCTATGGTCACACTAGCCACTGATATCCTTGGACTGTGTGATTTTGAGGCTGGGTTGGGGCCACCCAGCCATCGGAATGGTCACAAAGCAAAGCGAACCATCAGCCCAGTTCATCACAAACCCACTTTTGAGATTGATTCTAACTTGCTCAAATAAATCAAGTACTGTATTGCCTCTTAGGACCAAGAAGTTTGTTGGTCCATGATGCAGTGGTTCCAGCACAACACAAGCTGGCTGCTGGATGTGTTGTTTACCATTGCATGTCAAGCAAGTGTTGAGTGATAAATTTTTGGATCAGTAATTGACCAATGATTATAGATTTTCATTTACAATTAGATTTCATCAAATGTATGTTTATTATTTTATCTTTTTTATTATGATAGTTACAACATTTTTTATTGTTGTTTTCATTTTGATAAGGGAGGCTACTACAGATTCTCATTACAGTACTTTCAATCGTTCACTGGTAACATGCTCAGTAAAGACGGTCAGGCCAAACCACCCAAATCCATGAAAACCAGTGGACGGCTGGGTGAAAAACCAATTCTAAGGCTGGACCCAGCGGTTTCAATGACTAGTGTGAATGCTGCTTTATACTTTATATGCTTTAGTGGGTTGGGTCTTAATGAAAATTATTTTGCACCCCAACTTGAGTCAACTAAAAGTGGAAGAGGGACTTACCATAGTTGCTGGTAAGTACCGGTTGTTAATACTGTATATGAAAAGACCCATAGAAAGACTAACTGTCAGCAGAACATAAGGTTTTATGGAAAATTGGAGGCAATTAGTGGCAGTAATGGGACCATTTATCTGGCGTCCTGGTATCTGGAATGCTCCAGAAACTCTGGAAAAAATTATTTAAATAGAGTACCAAGTTCTTATTCAACTTATGTAGCGGTTTCATTCTACTGTTTGTTTTCCTTTTCTCTGTTGAAGATTTTAGTTTACATAATGAAGGTACCCTGTTAATAATTATTTTTTATAGCTACACTACATAAATTATCTTTACAGGTGGCCAGCATACAGTGGAATTACAAAGCAACAGATGATGTTGTCAAAGTTGAGGTTTGGGACATTGTAGATAAAGGAAAAAAAAAGAAAAAAGTAAGTTGACATTAGTAACTCTATGATAATTTATTTAAACCTTCATGTTAAAAAGATTGATTCTCATTTGTGGCAGTTTTCATTCAGTGATTGTGAACTTATTGATAGGAAGAGTACAGTATCATTATTTTTTTTTTTTTTTACTGTGTTTGGGTTATGCTTCTAGAAATACATTAAATAAATAATGTAGTGGAGATTTTATGATTTAAATACAGAATTGTATCTGGTGATATGTAATTCTTCAGTGATTCATACCTATTGTTGAATACAGTTAAGTACATTTATCAATGTCTTGCAAAGGAAAATGAGAAATATCAATAAAGAATGTGTAAATTCATTGTCAACAAGTCATCTGGTTATTGTGTCGGAAAAAGGAGAGACATAGTATACCACTTATCTGTATGAACTTTTGAAAATCCATAAGTAAATAAGTACCTTTGTTTCTTTCTTTCTTGCAGACAGTGCTCATGAAGTGTGCTGTATAATTCTTTATTTATTTATTTTTCAGATTAAGGGGCTGAAACTAGATAATGCCAATCTGGAATTTGAAGAGCCAGCTTTGGATGCTGAGTTTCTTGATGTGTATAAAGGGACTAATGGTGTTATACTCATGCTGGATATGACAAAGAACTGGTATGATGCTTTCCTAATATTTACATTTATACAGTATTATATATTCAAGTAAATTCTGTATATTTTATCTCGGTGCACCATTAATATACTTTGAGTATCAGAAAACTTTAATTTGAATAAACAATGGATCAATGAAATCATAATGGTAAATTATATGGCACAAGAGGAAGGAAGTATATACTATATAAACTTTGAGGCTTGAATTATGAGATGTTTAGATGCCAAGAATAATAGCCATTGTTGTGGAATATCTGAGAAGAAAGATGTGAATATTATAGAAATCAGTGACACAAGAAAAAATACAGTTAGAAGAGTTATTAATATCAATATGATATCGATCATTAAACAATGACTTTTGTGGTTTCTGTATTAAATTTTTTTTGTAGAAAGAAACAAAAAGATTCTAACAGCATTTTTTTTTTACCTTATATTCTTCCCCAGGACTTTTGAATATGTACGTCGGGAGATTGTAAACGTCCCAGCACACATTCCAGTGCTGGTGCTTGCTAATCATCGTGACATGGGCCACCACCGGGTTGTTTCGGAGGATGATGTTCGATTCTTTATTGAAGCTTTGGAAAGGTTCTGTATCGCAGTTTATTGAATGGTGGTGTTGTAAGCAGATCTTACTCGGAAGTTTGGGATATAAATAATATTCATTTATTGTCAAGTATCCTCTCTTGCCCATATGCATTTGCTCATTGGAGTAATATTAAATTGTTTTGGATCTTTTATCAATTTCAGTGTCACGATAAACACATTTTAAAGATTTTTTTTTTGCATATAGGAGTAAAGTAAAAGTTATGATGGATTGTTGTGATATATGTTGTTGGGGTATTCTATAAGGTTGGTGATACTGGGTGACTCATGTTTTACATAAGCTAAGTCCTTGAAACACCTTGAAAAAGTAGTTAGAGTAACCTAGAGATTATTTTCTCTTTCCTCCTGTCATGTAAGCTTTTATTTTTTGAAGAGGGTCCTTAGAGAAGAGTATCCTGGAGGTGTGTGAAAGTAGAGGAAAGGCCTGGTGTTTACACTTTAATTTAGGATAGGTGTTGCTTAGAGTAGATGTAATGAGATTGTTCCATTTCTTAGAAGTGAGTTTCAGGAATCAAGTTGTTCCTTTCTATTAACCTTCCAGAGAGAAGCTGTCATGATAGTGGAACAATCGATGCTTATCAGAAGTTGTTAGGCACATCAAAACAGTATCCATTCATTTGGTAGGATGTATCACTCAGAGATGGGTTTCCATATTTTGTGGAAGAATGGAAATTTGAGATCACCAAAATTCTTTTCCTTCTAGCAGGCATTCAAGGTAATATCTTAGCTCATCAGAAAACTTACTGTTCCACCAAGGCCATACAATATTGTAAGGGAGATTTAGTCACTATGACTAAGGACAGCTGACAAAGCCGTGAGAGGCTTGTATCCAGTAGTGTCCTTATGTCAGCAGCATCTCGTGTTCTTAGGGCCAGGCGGTCACCCATCCAAGTTCTAACCAGACCCGATGTTGCTTAACTTCGCTGATTGGAAAGAAGTAGTGTTTCCAACGTGGTACTACTGCAATTGATTTGTTGAGTATTGCGTCTTGCAAGTGGAGGATAAAATTAAATTTATTTCTTTGGGTTATATCTCCAATAAGTGACCCTCTTGGACAGTGTGTTCCCTTCTCTCAGTGGCTTGCTGCAGGTTCACATGTTATCAGTTTTATGAGATAAGTGTAGATACCCTTTGTATCATATGGGTTTATATTCCCTCTGTTAAGTTTTTTTCCATTCCACTTTAGGTTCTTTTTCCAGTTTTGAGTCAGGTAGGGTGGGAGGTAGTGGTTTCCTTTCATCTCCTTGTAATTTAATAAGCTGTGATTTTTTTTATAATATAAGCTAACAGCTAGCTAATGGAAATGACAATAAAACATTGTTGATGATAATGATAAGCTACAATTGCTAGTTTTCTAGAGGGATTCTTCTTGAAGGCATTTCCAAGGTTATACAGTATTAAGTTAATAATGCCATATTTTGTTTTGATATCATTGGAGTTAAGTTTTCTGATAAATAATTCTCAGAAAGAAGGAGGTTTCCAAAAACAATCTAGGCTAAGCATAGACCAAACCTAAAGATTTTGATAAAAAATGAGACTCCCGAGTTTTAGACCTTAAGTACAGCACTTGTCTCCTGCTCCAGGGGTCAGTAGTTCGATTCCCAGCCACTTCCAGTTACCTGTCTGTAAATGGGTTCCCAAGTTTACAACTGGGGAAGTGAATGCGGTCGAGTGCAGTACCGGCCACGTTGCCTCCTTGTATACCAAAGGCTTTAATATACCATGTGCTGTATCCACACTGTCCCTAATGGGCAGTCATTCCTATGGAACCCACTTTCAACTTTCACTGTACAGTATGGTAATTTCTTCTCATCATGGGATTTAAAGATGATTATCAGTATTCTATTTGTGCAGTTGAGACAGTCATCTTAAATTAGGATGACAGGAGCCTTTATTCTTCAAAAGGAAAAGAGAAAATAAACTTCCAATTTAAATCAAAATCTGAAGCTTGAGCATATCAGGTGTATTTTTCAAATAGACACAAACACGCTGTACGTGGAGGGCTCTTGGAATTAGATACATTACACAATCAGTGGATCGTCTGAAAGGTATATCCATATTATTTAATCTGCATAGAGGTGCATGGTCATCACCCAGAATTTATTGTATCATATACAGTACTGTACAGTAAATGAAGGAATCATGGAAATTGAGTGTGTGGCTTTGGGAAGTATGTAGGGTTACGTTTCTTTTTTCTATATATATTTAACTTGGAGTTGGTTGCTTACTATGTATCAGTTGAAGCTTTTATTTTCACCACCTCCCAATATCAGGTTAGCTTTGAATGACAAACATCACCCAGGATGATTGTAAAGATATAAATGATAAATTGATCCAGAAATCCCTTTTTATAACCATGACTGCCCTACCTTCTCCCAAACAAGTGAGAGATGTGTTGCACACTGCTAATGGGGCAGTGACTTGATTGCCTTTCTGCTTTAAATGGCAATTGCTGATACTTAGGGAACCTTTTCAAAAACTAAGGGTTAGTTGCAGAGTGAAAGAGAAATTAGCTTTAGATTAGTTTCAATAGAAATTTCCAGAAGTTAATCATGGGATGTAACTCCATAGATATAGTGTGCATATTGTGTGAGTTACTCAGTCTGGTCTTTGTTGTTCAATCTGTCTTATACATACATATTCCCATAACAGGCCAGAAGGTGCAGCTGATATTCGTTACACAGAATCTTCCATGCGCAATGGATATGGACTCAAGTTCTTGCACAGATTTTTTAATCTACCGTTTCTACAACTGCAGAGAGTAACTCTTTTGCAGCAATTGGAAACCAACACAGCAGAGATTGACGCCACTATTCAAGAACTTGATCTCTATCAAGAGAGTGAGGATGCTGATTATGACATGTATGAACAAGTTTTATTTCATGTTTTGTGCTGTATGATCATTTAGTAAGTTGTTTGATCATAAATAATTAATTACTAATTAAAGTAGAATTATGCACTCCTATACAGGTACACCACTGATTTTCTGGGAACTGATGGTCCGGCACCTCCTTTAGTCCGGACAAAATTACAAAATTAACAAAATTACGAGAGGGCACTTAACTTCCCTCCCTCCCTCCCAGCCAGGGTGAAGGTAGTTTTAGGCTTAAAGTTTTTATCTTATAAAATGTCACAGACTAAACCTAGCAGAATATAACTTGCATTGCTGGAATCCTTGTAAGATAATGATTAATTTGAGTATAAACTTCACATAGTTTGCACAAGAAATAATTTTTTTTTGTCTATATTAGTACATTTGAGTTCAAGTTATTCAACTCATATTTTTGGGAAGATATATGTAACTTTCTTAATTTATTTTTACTCATTTACATGCACACACCATCCTAAATATATAGTTAATTACTAAAAGTTTATATCTAGTGCAAACTTTGGGATGTTTGTACTTAAATTAATCGCTATCTTACAAGGATTCCAGCAATGCAAGTTATATGCTGTACTGCCAAGTCAACTGAGTAACATTTTATAAGGGAAAAACTTAAAACTCCTTCCATTTGATAACTACGCACTTCGTTATCTCCCCTCCCTGACAGCTGTCGCCACCTCACCTCCCCCTCCCCCTTCCTCCCAGTCAGGGTGAAGGCAGTTTTAGGCTTAGAGTTTTTATCTTATAAAATGTAGCTGACTAGACTTAACAGAATATAACTTGGATTGCTGGAATCCTTGTAAGATAGTGATTAATTTGAGTATAAACATCACAGTGTATAAACAGTCTAGTGTAGCACATTTGAGTACAAAGTGTGTACAGTAATGTTGCTCAAAATTTTGGCTTTTTTTTACTTTTAATTTACATTTAATATTTGTTTAATTTAAGTTTCTAGCAGTCCATGGTGCTTTAAAGACATAGGTGTTGTTGTGGGAAACAGGTGGTTTGGTTCACACTCAGGATGGGATGGAGAAAGGAAACTCACAATGTGCTCTCTGTATACATGTTGTATTGGATGTGCAGTGCAGCTTGGTGCTGGGAAGTGGCAGTGTGGTTACAAGCGTGATGTAGAGAGAGCTGGTTGGTGAGGATGCTCAGAAGAGGACCAGCTTGTGGGTCGCCATGCTCGCCGGCGGGAGCGAGGACCGCCAGGCAGGAGTGGAGGAGGTGGTGTTGCTTGCTGGTTGGTGTAGGTAGAAAGAGAGTGGTGACCACGAGGTCAGGTCTTAATTAGCGGAGGTAGGCGTGGCTTAGTAGTTGACCTCCGTCATGTCAGGCGGCGCTGGTTGACCTAGACCACGAGGCATACACTGGGGAATTCGTGGGGTCGGCTACTCAGCGAGAAACAGCGTTTGTAGGGGAGAAATCCACTACAGTGTATCATTAGTGGGTCAGAGGTGTATTGTTGAATTGTTACCTGACCTCGGTTGGTCCTGCAAACCGGATAATCTGGCAAGGCTTTGGAACCAAGGGTGCCGGAAAATCGGTGGTGTACCTGTATTATGTAATGCAGTGGCCTTTCATGACAAGATGCTTTGGAGAATTTACCAGTCTTCACTTACAGCTTCTTGAGTCAGCTGACTGACCGTAGGAGGGTAACAGCCGAGTTATTGGGCCCTGTGGCCCAGGTTTCAGCTCCAACAAGCACAACTGCAGTTCCTCAGTCACATTCTATTAACAATGTTGCAGCTGCTGCAAACATCAACTCCTCTGTTGATGGTGAGTTTCATCTGTAATCAGACTGAAAATTAGTGCTAATATAGATTTTACTCTGATTAATCCTTTAACAAATAAGTATGAAAAATGACATTCACAGTACAAGTATGTCAAGAAAATAGGAGTATGTAAAGAGGTAGATCAGAGATCCCTGTTACCCTCTTATAATATCTAGGTAGATTTGAGTGTTATTTACACAATAGAAGCCTTAGACTTCCAGAGACAATGATAGAATAATGATGTCCCAGCAAATATTGTGCTAATGCCCTCAGCATAGTATTATTACATGTGCCAAGATTCAAGGTCACACACTCACCTTGAATGTTGTGCAGCTCTTACCTGAGAGTGAAATAAAAGACAATTACAGAAATTTAATTTGTGGAGATAAGACATGCACTGTGGAAGTAAAAGAATACTCATGGTGAAGCTTGTCAACATCCTTCTCAGTCCATTGTTTTGGAACATTATGTGGAATTCCCTCCATTCAGTTAAACATCACAGCACCTTATTAGAACTAATGAGGGTTTTTGTTTTGTATATTTGTGTGTTTTCTGTAATATAATTTGTCATGCAATGTTTTGTGTGTCTCTTCAGGGGTCTCAAAGTCCATATCTGTGCCTGTGAGTTTGTCATCAGCAGTATCAAGCACACACTCCAGCCCTCATCCAGCTGAGCGTCCTTCACCCAATGTGTCTGCCACTAACACACAAACTGCCAAAGCTCCTACCATCTTGAACACATTAGCAACTGGAGTGTAAGTTTTGTTGTATGTATTGAAGTTTTTATTGTCATAAAAGATTTTTACCCATTTTGTAGTTTCTAGTTGTAGGACTATTCCAATTTTAATGATTGGCATTAAGATTTAAAGTTTAGTTTATTTGCTGCTATTAGCACTTCTAGTCAGGACCTTCATTCAGGAATACAAGTACTGTACAAGTGTAGATTTAGGTATTGGTATCTAGTACAGGTGCAATATTTCCATAAAGAAAAATTGTAAGTCGACCGGGAGTATAAGATGACCTTAATTATTTAAAATGAAACTGATTCTCCTTGAAGTTCAAGTTTGTCAGTATTTTAACTTTTAATGAAAGGAAGACTGTTTACACCGACGGCTCTTAAGTCGGATGCAGGGGTGGGTTTTGGGACAGTCTTTCCCGAATTCTATCGGGACGGGGGTCTCCCCACTACGGCAGCTATTTTTACGGCAGAGCTGTCGGATATTTCACTTGCCCTCAAAATTATTTCTGCCCAACCTCAGCAATTTTACAGTTTTTAGTGATTTTTGTAGTGCTCTCCAGGCCTTAGCTGATGCCTTATCGCCCCATCCCTTAGTTATAGATATTTACAGTGGCTATTTCTCATCCAACGTTGGGGCCAGAAAGTCAGTGGGTATTTCTCATCTAACGTGGAGGAGAAGGGGAATGAGTGTGCTGCTTCTCACCCTGTGGCACATCATTCCACTCTACCTGCCTCTGTTATGAAGCCAATAATAAGAGCTGCCATCTGCTTGAGTTAGCAATGCAGATGGGATGCTGTTGGAGCAAACAAGCTCGGCGACAGCCATCCTGCATTGGGTGCCTGGTGATGTCGGGGACTGTCGCGCTACCGGGAAAATGCTTTGGCCTACCTCTGTATTGGTCACACATGGCTGACTCACGTAATGCATATATTTACTGATAATAATACTTATTTCCTATAAATAATTAATTTAGAATATTTTATTTGCATTAGTTTTCATAAAAAGTGCTCGGCGACACATGCAGTCTGTCGCCAGGTTGAGGGATGACTCGTGGTGACAGGCTAATGCGTACTAACCTCACTGAGCCCACCTACGTTACCCTGCATGTGGCTTGACCACCAAATTGTCACGCTGGAACCTGATAACCCGCATTGGGCATTCAAACAATGGCGTGAAAAGGCGCACATTCCGTAACATCAGCCTTTGATGAACGTTCCAGAACATCAACTGGGGCATAGGGGTTAATTAGAAAAAAAATTATGTCTAGGGCAAATTATGGGATGTTTGTACTCAAATTAATCGAAACCTTTGCCGCCGGCTGTGACAACACCTCGCCTCCCCCTCCCTCCCAGTCAGGGTGAAAGTGATTTTAGGCTTAAAGTTTTTATCTTATAAAATGTCGCTAACTAGACTTAACAGAATATAAATTGCATTGCTGGAATCCTTGTAAGACAGTGATTAATTTGAGTATAAACATCACAGTGTATAAACAGTCTAGTGTAGTACATTTGAGTACAAAGTGTGTACAGTAATATGTTGCTCAAAATTATGGCTTTTTCACATTAAGTTACATATAATATTTGTTTAATTTAAGTTTCTAGCAGTCCATGGTGCTTTAGAGACACGGAGGTGGGTCAGGTGTGTATTGTTGAATTATTATTACCTGACCTTGGTTGGTCTGGCAAAATGGATAATCCAGCAAGGCTTTGGAACCAAGGGTGCTGGAAAATCAGTGGTGTACTTGTATTCGTATACATAATCCAGGCTGTGTATGTATGGACGAAAAGATATGACTTTAATGTTCTATTTTTTGTAAACAGAAATTTCTCATTCAAAATTATTATATTTGGTTGATGTGCTCAAATGTCATTATAAATTTACTTATTACAGTAGTGTGAACACCAACAGTGGCAGCAGCAACAACAGCACCAATAATAGTCCTTCCACTGGTACTCGTGCACAAAACACATTCACTCAGAGCCCAGAAAAATCTCAAGACAAGACCAGCTTTATGTCTCGCATTTTCAGTAAAGTTAAAGAACCAGAGCAAGCAAAGGAGGCATTGTTAGGTATGTTTTTGTTTTCCAATCATTACCATACAGATTATGAAGAAAGGATTTCAAAGGAAAAGTGAGAGATTTTTCTCCCACATAGCTAAGTCTAGATAAAGTTCATGTGGTACAGTATATATTACTTCTCTGGTTAAAGTAGCAATGGTGTTTCTTTAAAAATGATTATGGTATTGTAAGTTTTTTATTTATTACAAGATGTCTGCAAAATTTCTTAGGGATGATAAACATTCAAGGATTTGTTGAGCCTGTCTCTTACAAGATATAGGAAGTATTGATTTTTCTATATCATTGTCATTAATGTATTGGTAGTTATCTCAGTTCAGAAACTTAACACTACACTGTAATATCTCATTTTGTTTACACCACCAGAAGAAATAGCTCCTTCATCGGATCCAGTATCAGTGGATGACTTTGTGCCAGATGGTGGCCGACTAGATCAATCTTTCCTTAATGATGTAGCCTCAGCCCCAAGTAAGGAACCAACGCCACCACCCGTGGAGGATGACAGGTACTTTATACAGCAAATGAATTTGTGAAAACAGAACTGTAAACTGGACTTTAATTTTCACGTCTTCCAGAATCAAGAACAAAAACAATATCTCCTTTCAATTTCTTTATCCATTCACTTCAACTAATGCATCATTCCCATAAACCATTCTGAGCCCTGCCTTCCTATTACAGTATTCAAGTTTTTTTTGCTGCTTCCTGGACATCCTTCCTCCTCACTTTTCGGTTCTAGCACTTATTTAATCCGACTTTTCCATCTCTTTGTTGGTCTTCCCTTCTATCAATGACATGTATGCAGTGGTCCCTCGGTTAACGAATGGTTCGATTAACGAAATTTCGGTTAACGAATTAGCTCCCATAAGGATCTTCAATTCGGTTAACAAACAAAACTTCGATTAACGAAATCCTTACGACAAACACGTTTTGTTGTGAGCATCAGCTGATGGGCTAGTCCGTCAATACAGTAATCTGCTCTATGTTTACATTTGTTTCCAGTGGAATAAATGTCAAGAAGGTTGTGTTCTTGAATATTTTTCCATTTTCTATATTAAAATTATTGGTCATGCGCCATCTTACCCGGATTTTGAGCCGCGAGAGCAGCTACCGCCCGACACTGCTCTGTGGATGCCTAACAAATATTTTTGGTCAGTGCTCAACTCGGCATCATCCATGTCAATGTTGGGAGATGGAATGGCATCAAATTCTGTAATTTGAAGTTTTTCGCAGCCCTTCAGTTGTTTTCCAACTGGTCCAGTAAAGCCCATTGCCCCAGTTGTTTTGCCGTCCAAGTCCTGAATGAGGACAACGCTCTTGGAAATACGATCATATGAGGTCGTTTTCATTGACTTTATAGTTATTAGGAATAATTTTGATGCATATTGGAATATTCTAAAAATGATAAGAAAAATGCATTTTTGACGACTAAAATATGATATTCATCGCTGTGCCGCGGGCAGAAGATCATTACCTATTAAGCTAAGATTTTGCAGAGGCTATTTTCTCATGCATGCGCCACTTTTGGTCTCTATTAGGGTATGGAAATCGAAAAAAGGTAAAATCGACTCGCCCTAATCTCCATCACATTTCTGTATTTCTTATTTTCTTCATCTAGTTCACCTCACGTGTAGCTCTCAAGCATATCATTGTATGTCCTTTCTTATATGTGTTTTCCTTTTGTATCCCGAGACCACTTCTCTCATACATCCTCATCTGTGCCTCTTCTGACCTATTTCTCTCTCTCCATACATTCTTCAAAGTACAGGGGGTCCCTGGGTTGTGAATGGGTTCCGTTTCTGAGGACGTTCTTAAGTCAGATTTGTAGATAAGTCGGAACACATGCTACGTGCATACCGTACTTACAGAATAATGTTTAAAATCCCACTATATCATCGCCTAAGTCCTTAAATACATCTAAAATCACTTAATTTAAGGGAAAAGAAGAAATGGAATGACAAAATATGGTAAATGAAAGTATAAAGAAGTCATCAGGTAAATAAAATTCTGTAAATTTCAAGTTTAACCCCATTCGTACCGGCGGGAGTTTGTAAACAGGACATTCGTAAGTCGGGGACCCCCTGTATCAGTGTACCGCATCTCGTTACCTGCACATATTTATTTGAACTATTTTAGTAGAGTACATAGTATCTTTAGTGGAGATACTAGAGGGTTTTAAGAAATGGGTTATAATTATGTAAGTACTGTACATATTTTAAGAAATGGGTAAAATTAAAAAAAAAATTAAGTGAACAACATACGCTCAGTGAATACTGTACAGTGGTCTAATCAGATTTGCTTTAGGCCTAAGGAGAGCTAAGACACTGCTTATGTAATCAGGCTGGGGGTTGGGGGGGGGGACCTGATCTGGGGTTGGGGGTGGCCTGGTCGGAGGTTGTGGTGGGGGATGGCGGCCCGATTGGGGGTTTGCCGCATTTGTCAGGTTTATTTATTGATTCAGTATTATATTCTCGTATTATCAGCCTCTTATGGTGTATGGTTCGTCATGATTAATATAACATCTTCAATAATAGAAAAAAGTACAATATGTAAGTTGTCATTTGACCTGAAAATAAAAAGATAAGCTCTATCGGAAGGTATTCACTCAGGATGCTTTCGTGTGAGAGCTTTAACCCCTACGCCCCAGGCTAGGGTGCCGCTGGCTGTATCCCCCACGCTGAGTAAATTGAGAAAAATCAACTTTTCCAAAAATAATTTTTATAGTTTTTAAATGATAAAACAATAAGAATGAAGTAAGAAAAACTATATATTGACCCTCTAGATACTTCCCTGGGGCAGCAGTGGTGAGGGAGAAAAGGGGATAGTGCTGTGGTCACTGAGCACTTAGCAGCCATTTTCTGCTTGCCTTTGTGTCCGGGATGATCAGTAATGCATATATTTACTGATCATAATACTTATTTTCTATAAATAATTCATTTAGAATATTTTATTTGCATTATTTTTCTTAAAAAGTGCTCAGCGACACATGCAGTCTGTGAGAAAAAAACCTTGAGATATTTACTGTATAAATTTATATTCTCTTAACAGAATTGGTAATCATTTTATTTCATTTATTCCAGTGAAGATGAATTTGATGGAAATCCAATGGTGTCAGGCTTCCAAGTTGATCTTGATCCAGCTGATCTTCAACTTGGGTCAAATGTGGAAATTATTGCTGATGAAATGGAAGAACCAGAGGATGAGAGAAAGGAAGAGCAGAATGCAAAAGTATCAGTTGTTACCTGTGATATTTCCGAGTTAGAATTTGATAATCTATATAGTAGTGAAGATGTCTTAAGAACTAGTAAAAAGGATATGAAAAGTAAAAAGAAAAGGAATATGACTGACAGTGAAAAGCAAGAGTCTCAAGAAGTTTTGGTGGGTATGTCAGCTCTTGATATTCAAGATACAAAGTCAGTAAGCTTACAGCCAAATATAGGAACAAATACTATTGTTGGTTTTAGAGACTGTGAGAAAGATGACAAGGGTGAAGAAGAAGAGAAGAGTGACAAGCTTGATGATTGGCTCAACTCTAATGAAGGGACTATAGTTAACCCTTATGTTTCCACTGCAAGTGTCATGCCTGATGATCTTGATTTGGATGGCTCTGATGCTGAAGATGGTAAGAATGGGAGCTATGATAAAAGGAACACTATTTTTATGTAACTACGTATAGATAAATGTTTCTTCCACAATGGTACATGGTACATGGGTAACTACTGTGGAACTTTGGTAATTGGGCACGATTGGGATCAGGTAGTTGCTGGATTTCAGAATTTTCTTGTTTTTAAAGTAGTAAAGCATATGGGGCCAGATGCTAGCCTGGTATTGCCCAAATTTTAAAGGTGTTGTTTTATGTACCCAATACAGAAGTAAAGTGTTAAAACATACCATTACACCCATCATAAGGGAATGGTCGTTTATTGGAAGCCATTTTGAGGGTAAATTTATCAGTTTAATGGGTGGACATGTCAACACAAGCTCAAGGACTGGAAACAATGGCCAGAGGAGAGCACTGGCAACTGTAGTAGCTATTGGACCAAAGAGCAGCAACACCAGCAATTACTACCAGATGATACGAATTTTGGTTGTTTTGCCAGATACAGTCAACCCTCGCTTTACGCGGTCCCACATTCCGCGTTTCCATGTTTACGCAGTACCCTGCCGAAACCGGAATGCTCACATTCCGCGGTGCTTGTACCCCTTTACGCGGAGAGCGGCGCGAGCATGGTGCGCACAAGGTCGTCCAGTCATCAAAACATTACCGAGTTCTTCACCCGCCACCCACCACAGCCGGCCCAAGTCAGTGATAGTGATAATTATAGTGAAGATATGGACTTATATGGACTTTGAGGGGTTTGACAAAGAGGCCCTGCAAGCCTCTATGGTGGATAGTGATACAATTGATACAAGTGATACAGGTGAGGGCCAATAATCTGCCCTCTGCATCGGAACCAACCCCCCGTCCCCGTGTGCCCAGCCATCTTTTCTACTAATGTAAGTGTTAATAAAAGTAATATTATTGATATTTCTCTTAATTATTAATTGTGTGTGCATACCATCATAAAATTAAGAAGTTATTTTTACTACAACGTAGGTATTGTGTCTGAAAAAGTGGAGTTTGGGGGTCGGCCCGGTCTCTATTTCATTTAATCCCATCTGTTATGTTGTTCACTTTACGCGTTTCTCACTTTACGCGGGCCGCCGTGGGTTGAATTAACCGCGTAAAGTGAGGGTTCACTGTATTAGAAAGTGTATGTATGTAATTTTTAGTTTTGTTGGTTTTTAGAGGAATCTGGAATAAAGATTATCAGATTATTGAAGTTCCACTGTAATCTTTATTTATGGCTAGTGGGTCATTCAACAAGTGGTGTGCAAGATTCACCCACTATAACACTTCTTGACACCTTTCCTTGCTCTTGGGTCAATACTCTATGTGTTTTGGTAGTGGACACACTGCTTTGTTGGGCAAGGTAGTCAAAGTATACAGTGGGGTGAATCTTGAAGCCTTAGGTCACTGTAGACTCAAACTCCTCAGTCATATACATGAATTTCTTGTTTCAAAACCACACAAATTTCCTACCATTGGACTGCTTTCAGCATATGTTGTCTACCCTCTGCTGTGCTCCCTGTGAATCTCTCTAAAGATAAATATAATTTTGACACTTTTTTTTTCTGTCTCTCTCCTAATGTTAGCAGTATAGGTTGCTATGTTAGTGCATTATTTTATTTTTTTTAGGAGTCGTGTTGTGGCTCATTACCATCTTGCCGTATTTTTTCAAGTGTTAATTTTTTTTTATGATCATAATGGATTCCTGTTGGTGTGTCTATATATACAGTAAACCCTTGCTATTCGTGATTTCGACTATTTGCGGTAAGCAGTTGGTGGCTAGCTTACAAGCCTCTCCCGCAGCGCAACAAGTCACCCGCATGCATCCACAGCATCTCCCCTTCCTTGTTTGTGCTCAACCATTGCCTGCGACACAGCATCTCATGTTGTACTCTCAAATCTTTAGTGTTTCTGTGTGAATGGCCCCTAAAAGACTGCCTAGTGTCAGTGCTAGTGGAGTGAAACGTAAAAGGCAGAAGTCAATGATGACCCTGACAAAGAAAGTTAAATTATTAGACAAGTTAAAAGAGGGGATGAGTACTGCTGCGGCTGGTCAGTTGTTTGGTATAGCCATACAGTAGTGCACTAAGGTAGTATAAGTTGCTATTTGCGGTTCTGCCGGAAAAACATGTACCGTACTCCAGTTCAACTTTGATTTTTCCAAGAAATTATTATTTCTCATATTAATGGACTAAATATGAATATGTGGTAAAAATCAGCTTTTTAATGGTGCAAAAAATTAAATACTGTATCCAATATAATGAACTCTCGATTTAGCGGAAGGAATTTTTTCCATTGATAGCCGCACTCTTTTGAATTTCTCTCTCACATTACTTCCTTTCTGACAGACTTTCAGCATGATTTCTAAGCACAGTAGTTAGTTGACGGAGAAGTAGACCGAGAGGTAGCAGTGACCAACACACCCAGTGGCGGCAGGACAAAGACTGAGCGGATGTAGACAAACCCCATGCGCCAAGCGGCACATTTGGTGCGGAATTTAATGTAATCTTGCTCAATTTAGTAAACTAGTTCACTAAATCAAGTAAAACTAATGGAAAGTTTGATTTAGCGGAAATTTAACGGAATCACACTCAATTTAGTGAACTATTTTGCTAAATTGAGCGAAAATAACAGAGTTTGATTTATTGGAAATTTTGATTTAATGGAAAGGGGTAGCTCGAATTAGTTAGTTAAATCGAGAAAATACTGTACAGTACAAGTATTTTAATTACAGCACATTCTACATGTACAGTATTTGAACAACAACATCTTCCACGATTTGCTCCAGAGTCGGAAAACATGTTCTCCCAGTTCAACTCGTGATTTCTTTTAAGAAATGATTATTTTTTATTTATTTATTGACAATATGAATTGGTAGAATAATGATGCAGATTTCTAATGGTGTAAAAGAAAATTGAAATATCTCGACATTATCTTAAGCAATTTGCTCTGTTTTCTATGTAGCAAAATAACCCGTCCTGGGCAAAAAGTGCACGTAAAGGGTTAAATGAAGCAAGATCTTTATCTTGGTTCATTGGACTCTATTTGATTGTGTATAAGTATAGTCTGAGAGGTTAAAAAGTTCTACAGACACGTACACTACTACATCGGGAAGATTTTTATACAGTACTTCCATTTTTCCAGTGAACAGAATAAAAGTACAGTGAACCCTCGCTTTACGTGGTCAATTGAACCCACAGAGGCCCGCGTAAAGTGAACAACATAACATATGGGATTAATTGAAATAGAGACCGGGCCGACCCCCAAACTCCACTTTTTCAGACACAATACAGTGGGGTATGCTATAACGAATGGATTCTACTACGAATATTCATATAACGAACGGTTTTACCTATAAAATTGAGAATGCTATAACGAACGAAACTCCTACAACGAACATTATTTTTTTTTTTTTTTTTTTACTATATTGTTTTTTATTACAAGTATTAATGATATTCTTTATTTCAGGGGTTTAGATGCATATTTATGCACTTTTTACAATTTTTACCATTTTATATATTTTTCAGTGTTAAGTGGTTGTATTTGGGAGCCTGAAACGGATTAATCCTATAACGAACGAATGCTATAACGAACAAGGTTCTAGAACCAATTAGATTCATTATAGCATACCCCACTGCACCTACGTTGTAGTAAAAATAACTTCTTAATTTTATGATGGTATGCACACACAATTAGTAGAAAAGATGGCTGGGCACACGGGGATGGGGGGTTGGTTCCGAGGCAGAGGGCAGATTATTGGCCCTCACCTGTATCACTTGTATCAATTGTATCACTATCCACCACAGAGGCTTGCAGGGTCTCTTTGTCAAACCCCTCAAAGTCCATATAAGTTCATATCCTCACTATCACTATCACTGACTTGGGCCAGCTGTGGTGGGTGGCGGGTGAAGAACTCGGTAATGTTTTGATGACTGGGCGACCTTGTGCGCACCCTGCCCGCGCCGCTCTCCGCATAAAAGAGTACACGCACCGCGCAAAGTGAACATTCCGGGTCTGGCAGGGTACCGCGTAAATGTGGAAACGCGTAAAAAAACCCCGCGTAAAGCGGGGTAATACTGTAATAAATTTTAGAGGAACTTTTGTCAGTGATGTCACTAGGAATCATTAAATGAACCTCACTGTTTGTTTGATAATTACACAGTACTGTAATAGTTTTTCACCACTAGTCTAAGCAAACCTCTGACTAAAAACTTGCTTTGCCCCCCCCCCTCCCCTCCCCCCTTTTTCACAACTTGCATGCATTCTGCATGCAGATTACATTTATGCATATTTCTGTAGTTTTAAATTATGTTGTATTTATACACTAATGTATATACAATACAAGCTATGTATAGGTTAATTCTTTTTATGTGATTGTAACCTTTGAAAAGATTTTATGTACAGCATAGTACAGTACCTGTAAAATGGTTTCTTTATGAGTTTGTTCAATTTAGTTATCACAGTTCTTCTAGAACTTGCATAGTACAGGAGCTCCTTTACTTAAGAATGTTCAACTTACAAACTTTCAGAGATACAAACATCATCACTGAGGGGGGTTACCTGCCAGAACAGGTGTTAATGTGGATGAGACTGGATTATTTTGAAGAAAATTCCAGATAGAACAAACATTACCTAAGAGGAGAAGAGTGAGCCAGGTTTTAAGGCTGTATTAAAGGGTATAGCTGCACTAAATAGTATCCATAATCTTTTCATTTCTTACAATATGTTTGGTATCTACAAGAGCAAAGTTGGACTTACAAACAATTGGATTTACAAACAAGCCTCAGGAACGTAACTCGTTCGTAAGTAGAGGAACACCTGTATGTATAACATGAGAGCTGATCATGTTTTGCAATCCACTACTGTACTTGAGATTTAATGTTGTTGATAGCATTAGGGAAATCGACCAAGAGTAAATATATGGGAAAAAAGGAGGGAGTGTTTAAGATGTAGAACTTTTCATGAATTAAAAAATAAAATTTACAGTAATTAATAAACTGTGGATTTTGCATCTTGTTATTTTTGCACTTTCAGGCTCTACAGTAGAAGCTAGCAGAGTAGAAAAAATAAGTCATCACAGTTGCAGCACATCAAGAAGTGATAGTCCTTCAGAACTGTCAGAACGGAAGAAGAGACAAAAAAAAAAGGATAAAGTGAAGAAAGAGAAGGTATGATCACATTGGTTGTTATTGATCCTCGTTTAAGATGACCATATAGAACAATACAGTACAATGAGATTTATGGATATACTGTGCCATGGATGTAGTGTATGTACTGTATTTGATGGCATATAAGATGAATTTTTTGTCTGAAAAATTGCTAAAAAAATCAGCCTGCGTCCTATTTGTGAAGTTGTGGTCTACCGAAAGCTAATGAATCACCCAGTTGCTGTCTCTAGTAGGCTAAATTCTACCTAACCCAACCCCAGAATTAAAATTGTTATTGCATTCTTAAACACATTATTATTATTTTTAATTAGTTAAAAAATAATTATTGTCAATATTAAAGCTCGATTTACAACTAGTGTACTGATTATAATAACCTGAGATGATTAACATCCATACAGCAGACACCCAACTCTCCAGAGGTAGCTAAGCAGTAACAATTTCTGAAGTTTTACAAGCATTACAATCTATTAATGTCATACCTGCAACATTTATTTTTAAATCTACAAATACCTGATAAAAATGAAGATTTACAGATAACTTTCTTTTCACATTTGCATATGTTAACATCGCTGGCAGCATTGTAGCCAGGTTAGACTAGTCACTGTAGCCACCAGGCTACTGGGCCAAGCTCTGAGGTGTTATGGTTGTTTTTCAGCTCATATTTTTGGGTAGATAATGTAACTTTCTTCATTTATTTTTATTCAATTACATGCACACACCATCCTACATAAATTTTGTAAAAAAGGGTAAAAGAAATAATTATCGTAAGGGCAAACACATACAGGGAATTTACATTTCTTTGCACACGAGTTAGCTGGCTCAGTGGGGGAGTGTTGCTAGGGAATTGATGGAGGTAGCGTCTCCATTGCTATGATGAAGCAGGGAGTATATATGCAAATGGTGACTGTGTTAAACTTGTTAAACTTTCATTTGGCTTTTATTTACTGGTTTGGTAATACAGTTCTTTGTTGTAACTTATTTATTGGTATTATTTTTATTTATTTCTCGCATATACTGGTACTGTATATATTATTTAATGAAAAATATGGCTACAGGAGGAAAATACACACACAAGTTTTTTTGTAAATACTCCCTGGTAAAATGGGGGGTACGTCTTATGTGGTCGTGCATCTTATATGCCGTAAAATACAGTACTGTACAGTATATTTTTGGTGTCCCAACTAATTTTATATTTCCCTTGAGTGAATGAGTTTACTGAGCATCAAAGAAAAATAATAATTATAAAAAAGAATTAATGGAAAGGTAAACTCTTGAGAAAATTATTATTATTTATTCTCACTACAGTATGCAATATATTATACTATAATAAGAGAACTAACTAAACTAAGATGTGTGCAAGATAACTTGGTAATTCGGAAAATATTAGCATGAAGGAAAATCAAGTTCATTGAGTAATGTTAATGGTACAGGTTGGACCTCGCTAATCCGGGAAGCTTGGGACCAGACTGGATCTGGATTATCGAAAATTCCGAACCATCGAAGGTGGGGTTAAAAAAAGGCAACTTGCATAAAATGTACTATTCTTTTCACCGCAGACATGGTGTATACTGATCCCGTGCTCCAACTTAAACCTGTGAAGCCAGCCATTTGAATATTCAAAATCTTCCTGGATATCTAACTGCTCGTGAAATATTTTAGCCTGTTCAATGACCATTTCTCCAGAAATAATCCCACACTCATCATGAGACTGGTGACACCACTGGTTAAAAGCACTCTCTACCTGTGTTTGCTAACCTTCTTTTGAAGTTTTTCGGATTTGGATTTCGGATTCTTGTTTTCGGTGTCAGCAAAAAATTTCATGATTTTCTCTTGCTTCTTCACATAGTACACAGTCAATGAACCGACACCATATTCTGCACACAATGCTCTTACCAATGTCTTACCAATTTCTTCAGTATAGACACCTTTTCTAAAATAGTTAATGTCACTTGCTTACGTTTTGCCACTTCTTGCTGGTCTCTTAGAGGCATAATTAGGGGTAAATTGAAGCTGCCAGACTATCGGGTCCCGGATAAACGGGATCCGACCTGTAATACAGTACGGTATATGTTGTGGAAAACAGGTCTCAAGTTGGATAAGCAAATTAAAGCAATAATTTTATGAATATTATATGGATAACTGTGCAGTGATGTACAGTGACTCGTGTTAGTATGTATAGTAAACCCTCGATAACTCGGCTCATATGGGACTCTGGCCTTGCCGAGTTATCCCAAATTCCGACTTATCGAGGCACTTCCTCCTCCTACAAAAATACAACAATAAAAAATTATTGACCCATATATGTGTAACACTTACCAGCACTGCAGGCAAAGAATGAAGCATTATAGTAGGTGACAGATGCATGGTAGGTGACACAGAGGTATGGTAGGTGACACAGGTATGGTAGGTGACACAGATGCATGGTAGGTGAAACAGAGGCATGGTAGGTGACACGGAGGTATGATCGGTGATGCAGGTGAACAGATATGCCAAGATTTTCCCAGTTAATTTTATATATCTCAGCATTTCCATGGTTATACAGTAGGCCCTTCAAATTTGCGAGTGTTAGGTTCTCAAAATGGCGGCGAATCGCCAAATCCACGAATAACATTTGCTGACTGGGGGGGTGGATGTTTACTAGTGTACAAAGAAATGTATATTCCCTTTATATGTTTGCCCTTAGGATAGGACAGTTAATTCTTTTGCCTGTATTGTATATTGTATATGTGTGTGTGTGTTCACAAAACACATATAAATAAATAATAATGGGAAAATCCTCTCGCAAATAATCAGAAACAGATGTAGTATTAAAAATGTTGAGTCTACCCTCAAGTCTACTCCATGCTTGTTATTAAGAAAGCACGGAGTAGACTTGATGGTAGACTCATCATTTTCAATACTACATTTGTTTCTGATCATTTGTTAGAGGATTTTCCCATTATTATTTATTTGTTGTATGTGTTTTGTGTGTGTGTTTTTTTTTTTTTTTTTTACGGGGTTTAGCCCAGCTGGGCACAGGTCACTGACTCACATCGGGGCCTGGGGGGCAAAAATGTAATAATAATAATAATAGTAATTCAGATAAGTAAAATTTATAATATAAACAATAAAATAATAATGATAACAATAATAATAATAATAATAATAATAACATTGCAATATTAATAATAATAATAATAATAATAATAATAATAATAATAATAATAATAATAATAAAGAACCATAAAGAAATACAAAAATTAAAAAAAGAACAAGAGAGAGAAACAATATATATACTGTACAATATGTTGTGTTGTAAATAGTAAGAGAAACAATTGAGACTGCAATTGTGTGTAAATGAGGCAGAAAGTCAGATCAGCAACCTGGGATTTGATCACAATTTTCGTGATGCCATATGGCAGCAGGGTCTACCATTAGACAATACATTATGCTTTCAATATCTTCCAAGGTGGTAGTACCTCCCTGTTTGGTAGCTGCCAACTACACACGCACACACACTGTACTGTATTAAATGACAGCTTATTGAAATTTGTATACTGTAGTAGACATATATTGACCAATGTATATTTTCATGTTTACTGCACTTTCATGGTGTTCATGGTTTCAGGATGATGACAAATCAGTCAAAAAGCACAAGAAGAAAAGCAAAGATAAGGACAAGGAGAAAGACAAAGAGGGGGAAAGGAAGAAAAAGAAGAAGAAGAGAGATAAGGATAAAGATGATCTAGAAGAATTCTTCAGTGGATCACCAGAAAAGGAATTTGATGAGGCTTACGAAGCTATTTAATCCTGCCATTTCCCATTTACAGTATATGTCCAAAAGAATGTTGTGCAGTATGAAACTTTCCCATGTATTTGATGCCCTAGTACACTAATGTAGAATTGGATTGAGGTATTGAAAGATATTTTATAATTATATTGTAATAAGATCATTAGAAACTCACTGTACGAAAATTTTTAAACCATACTACAGTATAGTATATATATATATATATATATATATATATATATATATATATATATATATATATATATATATATATATATATATATATATATATATATATATATATATATATATATATATATATATATATATATATATATATATATATATATATATATATATATATATATATATATATATATGCTGATAACCACAAGGAAAGAAGAAAACACGAAGTTCCCAAGCGCTTTCGTGTAATTCACATCTTCAGGGGTGAGTACAGACTAGAGAGAGAAATACAAATCAAGGTGTATATATACAGAGGAGGGTGAGACCAGGTCCACAATGGTCAGGTATTAGGTAATGACCCTACTAATCTTTAAATAGCACACAACGGTTGGTGGTCAGGTCAGATGGTCAGGTGACCCGGCCTTCTCACCTGGTCACAAATCTTCTTAATTACAAAATTGTCCAGCTTGTACATGCCGTTACTCAAATTCATGTTGAATGCTTCGGTATGTTTAATAAGACTAGATTCTATGATGTTCCTACTATCAATTGAATTACATGGTAATATTGAGGAGGCATTATCCCAGTCAATGCAATGCTTGTTATCCCTCAAATGAACAAACAGAGCATTGGATTCCTGGCCTGTCCTAACACTGTATTTGTGTTGTTTAATTCTAGTTGCAAGATCTTTACCTGTCTGGCCTAAGTAAAACATATTACATTCCTTGCAAGGAACTTTATAAATGTAACCAATTGTGTTGTTGGGGGAGTTCTTGATTAACATTTGTTTAACAGTGCATGAGTTTTTAAATGCCATTTAAATATATATATATATATATTTATATATACATATATACTATATATATATATATATATACATATATACTATATATATATATATATATATATATATATATATATATATATATATATATATATATATATATATATATATATATATATATATATATATATATATATATATATATATATATATATATATATATATATATATATATATATATATAAAAGGGGCACATTTTAATGATGGGAATTTTTTCTTGATTAGAGTACACGGGGCCCCCCAAATTTGTGGGGGTTAGGTTCTCTAAATGGACGCGAATCACCAAATCCGCGAATATGATTAGCGGACCATGGGGGGAGGGGATATTTTTACTTGTGTACAAAGAAATGTATATTCCCTTTGTGTTTGCCCTTAGGACAATTATTTCTTTTACCTGTATTGTATACAGGTATACTGTATATGTGTATGTGTATAGACACACACACACACAAAACACGTACAAATAAATAATAATGGGAAAATACTCTCACAAATAATCAGAAACAAATTCATTAAAAATGTGAGTCTACCCTCAAGTCCATACTTTATTAATAAAGTAATAAAGCACGGCCTTGAGGATAGACTGTCACATTTTTAATAAATTTGTTTCTGATTATTTGTGAGAGGATTTTCCCATTATTATTTATTTGTATGCGTTTTGTGTGTGTGTGTGTGTGTCTACACACACACACACACACATATTTACAATACAGGTAAAGGAAATTACTGTCTCTAGAACTAATGGCTCCCTGTCCCAGCTGCAAAAATGTCGGCAACTTTAAAACTACCCACAGACATTCTTGGGTACATCCAGGGTGTCATCCGCGAATAATAGAAGACTGCAAAATAAAATCCGCAAACTTGGGGGGCCCCTTGTACAGTGTCTTGCATCTTTTGCTATAATTATTTTCATTCAATTTTAAATCTAACCCATCATCTTAGTTAAATCATTAGTTTTATTTTTGTATTGTTAGATAAAGGAGGGATGATGGAAGAATAACTGAAGAGAATCTATGACAGTACGTAAGTAGAAAAAAATTTCTTACTAAAGTAGTATACAGTATTTGACATTGGTATTGTATTGTATTCCTAATTCGGCAAGACATATATAAGATAAAAACTGTACAGTAGTTATTTGAAAGTATTTATCAAATTTATCTAATAATTAAAGCACCAGTGTACAGGGTATTTCCTTTTGAGTCATGTTTGGGATATAAATGGAACTGGTTTAAAATTCAAGTTAATGGGGGAAATGTACAGGACTCTGTGCAGTACTTGTATTCTCATAAATTTTGAATTTTCATTTATTGATATACTGTAATGTAATGGACAGTATTGTGCTGTATTATGAAAGGACAATGTGCAGTACACTACAAAGCAACCACTTATGATCCAGTTACTGTTTCATGTATGTCATTCATCTCATTTTCAAGGTTTTTGTTGCAAATATATATATATGAAGTGGTCCCTCGGTTAACGAACACCTCGGTTAATGAATTACCTTCCATAAGAATATTCAATTCGGTTAACGAACAAAAATTCTGTTAACGAAATTCTTACGAAAATGTTTCGAAATGCTTTGGCTTGCTCACCAGCTGGAAGATTAGTCCGGCAATACAGAAATCGGTTCTAGGGCTTACATTCGTTAAAATTGGAGTACAGTAAAACCTCGATTAACCGACTTTCGGATAAACCGTCAATCCCGAACTCCTAATAATTTTTTTTTTTTTTTTTACAGGGATTAGTCCACCCGGGCACAGGTCACTGACCCACATCGGAGCCTGGGGGGCGATAATGTAATAATATTAATAATGATAATAATAATAACAACAGTAATTAAGAACCATATATAAATGCAAAAATGAAAAAAAAAATCAAGAGTGAGAACCAATATATGTATATTGTGTTGTCAATAGTAAGAGAAGCAATTGAGACCCTGCAATTGTGTGTAAATGAGGAAGAAAGTCAGGTCAGCAACCTGGGACTTGGTCACAATTTTTGTGAACTGATGACATGTTCTTTGATTTTTCCATTTTTTATTCATGGTTTCTGTGCTGGTTCATATTTATTTACGAAAGTGGTTAATGTTTTAAAGCAAATTCTATTGAAATATGAATGGCAAATGAACAAAAATGAATAGAGGGAATTAAATGAGGTGGGTTAGGGAAAGGTACTTTGAAAATGTATGTTTTATTTCCGTAGACTTTACGTACTATTAACCGACCTTTTGGATTATCCGTCGGCCCCTTCCCCCATATGTGGGTGGTTAATCGAGGTTTTACTGTAAATATCAACCGAGGGACCACTGTATATATATATACAGTACAGTTGTAACCCGCTTTATGCGGTTTCACTTAACGCGATTCCTCATACGCGGTGCCTCGCCAGAACCGAACTTTCACTTAACGCGGTTCATCTACCCATATACGCGCAGAGTGTCCGGCTCGAGACGCTATTTTTAGATTCGCCCGCCAACCGCTCCCGCCTGCTGCCTGCCTCGCCTCTCCCTCCTCCTCCCCCTCCTCCCTCCCTCCCCTCCGCCTCCATCCCCGTATGCCGACCCATCTCTTCTACTAACGTAAGTGTTACACCTAACTTTTAGTTTTCCTAACCTAACCTTTATTTTTCCTAACCTAACCTCTTCTATATTACTTGTTTGTTCATACCATCATAAAGTTAAGATAAAATGTTTACTACAACATAGTTGTGTGTCGTCAAAAAGTGGAGTTTGGGGGTCGGGCCAGTCTCTATTGGAATTAATCCCATATGTTCTGTTGTTCACTTAACGTGGTACCCTGTGGGTTCAATTGACCGCGTAAAGCGGGGTACAACTCTGTGTGTGTATATATATATATATATATATATATATATATATATATATATATATATATATATATATATATATATATATATATATATATATATATATATATATATATATATATATATATATATATATATATATATATATATATATATATATATATATATATATATATATATATATATATATCTGTAATTTATTTATTTATTTTTTTTTACTCAATATGTACAGTACAGTATACTGTATACAGTATGTCATGCAAAGTACAGATACAGCATATTGTATGAATGTTATTTTTAGTCTTTGTGATAGCTGATATGCTGAACTTACCGAATTATAGTTACACTGGATCATTCTATTTGGAGAGATTTAATACTTTATTCATAGGTACTGTATAAGCAGAAAGTACAGGTATCCCTTTATTTACAAACATTCAAAGTTATGAAAATAATTTTTTGGGGATCAATATTGATTTATGAAGCAAGATTTCTAAGTTATGAAATTTACTTTGTTGTACATAAAAAATTATTCAATACCTGGAAAACATCCATTACAGTATTATACTAAACGAGTGATTAATTTGTAAAATAAGAAGTGGTGGAACTTTAGTGAGCCAGAGACATGCTGCAAAGCAGCCGACCGAGCTTGCAGAATTGGCGCAAGGCATTTAGTATTACCAACTCCTGTAGGGGCACATTTTGAAAAAAATTATAAATAGTACTGATGGAAATATTTATTGGTATGTGATTACATTTACAGTTTACTTATTTAAAATAAAAGTGTTAGAACTGTGTTCCAACACAAACTAAACACAATATAATCTTTAGTATACAGTATAAAGAAAATTACACTAAAATTAATGGCTAAGCTAAGAATAAATTATTGAAAGTATTTGTCATCTTGGCTCACAGTATTAGTCTTGTACAAGAACCAGTAACCAGGTGCTGATTCAGGGATCTTGGATGTAGGAGCTATGAACAGGATCACAGTACATTCACTGCAAATAATTGTAATTAAAATCCCATTTTTTTTACATTATTTTCTTCATTATATATTGTTTAACATCACGATATTTACAATATTTGTTATATATGGGTATATTTTTGTTGTTTTGTATGGGCTTTAACCTAACCTAAACTATGGGTCCAGGAACGTATCCCTGACGTAAATCGGGGACAGCCTGTAATCTCCCTGTGAGCCAGAATAATTGGTGCAGAGTGATTCCAGGTCTGAGATTTTTCTGGGTATGACGACAAGTTTTCTCGTCGGCGGAAAAAATCACACATCCACAAAATTTTTCCATCTACTGGTGAAAATTTTCCGAGAGTTTAACTTATACATCTC